GGCATATAAACATCAGAATTCCGAAAAGGAAGAGGTGCTTCCCAATTCCCCAACTGGTTCTTATGGAAGCTCTTGTCCATAAGAGACAGGAATTGTCGATCCTCATGACTCAAACCAATCTCGTTATCTCTCGGTGATGTATAAAACTCATTAAAACTCAAACTCAGGTAGTCGTCTTTTGGCGATTGTTTACATATGAAGGAATTCTCACAAGGCTCATACTTGGTTTCAAATCCAACAGACGTTCTTCTAGCTATGATGTGGACGTTTCCTCCTTGGCGATCTAAGCACAGAACTCCACTCACTGTCCATCCTAAATCAAGACGCTGTGCCCATGCTGCTCCTATAGGCCCATTTATTGACTCTCGTACTTTCAATAACTCAGGTGCGTCACGACCAATAATAAGAAGGAAGGGTGCTTTATTGTCAATTGGTCGAAGATAATCAGCTATACACTGAAGATGTGGTATTTGTCTAACAAGCTCAGGATTTGGAATCTCGTTGGTACCATCAGGAACGTTACTGGATTCAGTTATGCTCGGAAGTGGAAATTCGTCTCCTCGTATTGTGCGTACACAAAGATTTTCTGCTCTGCGACCTACACATAATTCCTTACCATGACAGGTCTCGAGTGTGAACTCGTGCTCATCCCCGTACAGTTGTAGGCCCTCAAATAACTCAGTTGATCCTAATGAGTGGTTGGACTGGTCGTCTATAATGACATATCCTCGCACTGCTCTCTCAGGATTGCTCAATTCGTAAATGTCGACAAGGATTAATTTACCACAGGTTTTACCTCTCATGTTGACAGTCCCATCACCACAAATTTTGGTACATGCTGATTTTACAGCCTCCCCACTATAAGGTGCCAACTCTTTCTTCTTCGTCTCATCTCTGTCATCTTTATGCAGAACTAATAGGTGACGTCTGTTACATTTAGGACAAGATATATCTCTCCTGGTACAGTGAATGGCAAAATGTTTCCCCTCTAAACAACGGAAACATATCTCAAGCTCTTTTAATAACTGCAGTTTCTCGTCGTAACTTTTCTCTCGGAAGGTTCGACACTCAGAAAGATGGTGGTTGGTTTTGTGGATCGGACATTGGCTGTTCGACTTTTCTTGTTTAGGCTCTAAGTTAACGTCAGTCTTGAGACTAGTGGTGTGTGTACTGGGCTTATTGTCTTTAAAACCATGCTTATAAGGATTAGGCTTTGAACTCAGGTTGTTGTCAGGTCTCGAACTTGTGTATCTCGAACCTTTGTGCTCACTCTCTTGACTCGGTAATTTAGCAATAGATGGATGGTTCTGTTTTAGTGAAAGGTTATGGATCAGCTTAACAAAGGATTTGAATGGTGGGTAATCATCACTTCTATTATCGACCATGTGTTTGGTAACTTTACTGTCCCATTTCTCTTTAATGGATTTAGGTATTTTCTCAACTAAGGTTTTCATGAAATACGAAGTATTCAGGATGCTCAGGCCTTTCAAATAAGGTTCTTGTGTATTTAAGTTCTCACAAGTGTCATAAAATGTCTGAAGAGCCTCTTTATCTTCGTAACGAAAGTTAGCAGCCTTAAGTAAAGTCTCAATCAAATTATTCGCTACCTCAGCAGTATGTCCAAACCTTTCTTCTAGTGCTGACCAAAGGTCATTTAGTTTGACCTGGGGATCGGGATGTATTCGTCTGCGAAATTGATTTACAAGCTCTTTAGGTTTGCTACTGGTGTACTTCAGTAAGTACGTAATCTCTTGATTAGGTGTAGCCTCAGCTTCACATATTAAGGTTTTAAATGCTTGCCTCCAAGGAAGAAACAAGGCGGGATCTGCACTAAACACGTCAGGCTCACATTTAGGTAGTGCAAGTGAAGCAAGTAATCTCTTACTAATGTCATTAGAGTGCTCGGGTGGCCTAGTGTTAAACAAGTTGCTTTGTTGATTAGTGCTCTCAAATGGTCTAGGGTCACCATGCGTTGGCATACTAGGTGTGTATCTCAGTGTTAGCTCATGGTTAGGTTGAAATATGGGGGTGTTTGACGATTGCTCGTTATGTATATCACGAGGTGACTCTTTAGGCCTAGTCAAACATTGCTCAGTAGGCCCCTCAAACCTGGGTTGAAATACAGGTGCTGTTGGTAACAACTCAGTAAAGTTCTCTTTTCTGTAGATCTCGGTAGGCCTGGATAGGGATAGCTCTGGGGGCTGCTCGAAAGGTAACTCCTTATGCCTGGTGTGGGCTTGCTCAGTGGACCTAGGGCTAGGTAGCTCAGTAGGCCGATGTGACTCAATCGTAGTAAGGCTCTTCTCGTGGGGTGTAGGCCCCTGGTTGTTCTCATGTGAGAGGTCTCCGATCTCAGAACCTATCTCGGATTGTATCCATTGTGCAGTACGCCGAGTACGGTCAGTGGAATTGAAACTATTATCAATAGGGTCAACAGAATTGACTTTTGATGAAGTATGGCTTAGTGTCTCGAAGCCAAACGACAAGGCCTCAGTTACAGCTAATTCTCGCTCATTTTTTATTTGCTCAAGTTTGGATTGGGTTTCTGCCTCAGCTACCTTCCTAGCTAACTCAATTTTGCGAATTTCCTCGTCAAATCTGAACTTCTCTCTTGCAACACGTATTTTAGTCTCAATATATTGAACAGAGCTCGATAATTCTGAACTACGAGTATGACGACTAGTCATAGACTTGTATGAGGGATGGTGACTTGAGGTTACATCGTGCGAGTCATCTTTCTCTACTGCAGAGTTGTTGGAAATTGCAGGGGTTGCCATGGCTCAAAGGCAGTTTATAGTTTATATTTAAACAGTAATGTATTTTACTCGCGGCTGTCGATTCTGTCTGTTTACTCACGGTTATTAAACAGGAAACTCGGCAAACGTTTTATTCACGGCTCCGTATGGTTGTAGCCACTGCAGTCATTTTCTCACACTCACAGCTCTCAAACTCAGGAAAATTTGTAAAGTTTGTTCACAGCTCACGCACAGGCCAAGTTGGTGAAACAATCCTTTTCTTCTCAGCTCTTTTTTAAAACCAGGGAGGTCTTTTTATTCACAACTCATGGAACTAGGGAATTCTGCAATCTTTTTACTGTTCTGTCTCGCTGACAGAGACGACCGCGCACGTGTTCTCAAACGTACTTTATGCTCAGTCTCAACTCAAATGGCCGTTCCGTCAGCTGCCCAGATAGCTTACGCGCACCTTTCTAATGATGAAAAAACACAACACAGTATTAGGTGCTAACCCATATTATTATTTTCTTCAAGTAAGTAGCGGTAAAAAGATTATGCGACGAAAACCCTGGTCACTTCGCTCAGCTCCTCGTGTTTATATTTTATTTTATTTTCGGTGATAATGCGCAGACGCGAAGTAAAATAGACTCGATTAACTACACTCCAAAAATGATCGGCTCGCTCAGTGACCAGAATTACCGTACACGACAAAAGTAAACATGAACACGCGAATATACTACAGTCTCAATGAACAGCACACCTACTCAAACTACAGTTTGCTAGTCGTTATTTTTCGAGATTTTACCACGGTTGTTTTAATCTCGCGACTGTGACTGGGGCTTTTACTATCAGCTGATTCATTGTTTCGATCGGTGCGGAATTGGATTATGAATTGCATGCAGTTTGCATTTTGCCGTTATCGGGTCCGATGATGTATAAAAATGTAGGTTAATTTTCAGGCAAAACTGATACATGGCATGACATGGTACGTGAGTGCTTCAGACGCCAAAATGTTTAGAAAGACGTTTCTATACCGTCACTGGTACCGTTTCACGAGCTTTGTTTGTGACCTCAATCCCAGACTAAAGGATAAAATCTGTTAAGCATAACTCTCCAACTAGTCCATGGAGCTAGCAAAGATTTAATTAACATCTCAAGTACAAAAGGTTAGAGAATTGCAATTAGATGTATGATGGTATTTCGCCCGTATATTCCGGACATGTCCTGAGGTATTTTACAAAAGTCCGACCAGGAATGTGCTTAATCGGACATCAAGATATGGTGAATAATATATTACTCATCCCGATTATTGTTGACAATAGCCTGGATTGATTAGGTAATTACTTGGTGAACGTATTTATCTTCTTATACCGTCTATACACCTACCTTGATTAAAGATACATTATGGGAGATTCAGTAACGAGTTGGCAGTTCTCAGTATAATAGTTAAAAACTAGATAATGTAAAGGCAATTTGGTGAAAATTTCATTCAAATTGATCCACTATGAACCGAGAACTAAGCGACTGAAATTCCCATAAGCCTCGATCATCATTACCAAAGTCAGTACGATAAACAGCATAGTCTCGATTATCCATTTAATCGTTTAATCGAGAAGGAAAGTTATGCAGTAAATTGGCTTACAACCCACTAAAGATCGCAGGCTAGCGCTGCCATCTTGAGTTGATTATGGCCTGGAAAGGTTACTTAATGTCTAATTAATAATTTAGATAACATTTCAGGCCTAAAGAAAGACCTGAAATAGGCAGATTTAGCTCTTGCATAATGTATATTTAACTAATTCATCTGCCTTGATTGGCTGACTTTTGGGAACACCAGCAGGACACTGATACAGTGTGCTATGAGGCAAATTTTGCCCGGGCAGCGGCACTATGGCCTACTCTTATATCGAATTCCAAATCCCAAGGGATCTTTTACGTGCATGCAAATATGCGCACAGTACCTTGATTTTTTTTTTTGCCCCATCTGTACCGACTATAATTATGTTGTCCCTTACATTAGAGACAAGGAGGAACCATTCCGGAAAATCCAACTTGGGGTTTAACCTAACATATGGTTCAATCTTATTTCAATAATTTGCTTGCACATAGGGGTCTTTAGCAGTAGGAGGAAACCGGAGGACCCGGAGAAAACCCACGAGGTTGGACAGGTGTACTTACTCCTTATCACATACATTTCAGCTAATTTGTTGTGAGAAGCTGATACAGATGTTCTGGGTTCAAATACTGTTATAGGCAAGTCAATAATTATAATAATATATTCTTCAATGATGTAGACTTTATTATTAATAATTTTTTTTCTATATACAGGTCTACAGCAATAATATTAGCACTTTTTTTTCATTCATTTAACACAAACACAATTTTTACATTTTCCTTTTCAAAAATCTTACTTAACTCTTATTTTCATGATGAGATTTTTCAAAATTATTATCCTAACCCGAGTTGTAGCACATGAAATTTTAAAATCTTTAAATAAACAACCAATAATTCGTTTGACAATTTACTAATAAAGTCATTTTTGAACAATCTGTATAAAACTCTTGCTGGTTTCACACAAGCATATTATTAGGTTTTTCATGGCTGCTCTAATCTATAGTTCATGAAATTCTTTCAGATAAAATATATGTTACACCATAACTCATACTGTTGAAAATAGTAACGAAATATTGGTGCTTTGTTTTTTATAAGTTTACGTATTGTGTTTTATTTCAACTAATTGAAATTTGAGTCATCTTAATTTTATCCGAGAAAATTTCAGTTTCTAGAATATCAATCCAAATGTAACATTTCCTTAGTCCTTAGTTGGCAGCACTGATTTCCACGTGATCTACAATCTGTTCATTCTAAACCTCGAGTTCCCTCTTCATGTGGTCGTTCTGTTAGTATACCAATTTTATGCTGGTTCAATGTTCCCATGGGTCTTGCATATGGAATTGTTAGTCCAGGCACTCTCCATTTCTCAATCTGACCCATTTTAATAAGCATGGCAGTTGCTCCAAAAAAAAGGCCAACGCCCCATCCAACTTTTTGGGAATTGTCTGAAATGAAAAAGGTGACAAAATAAAGCGTGACTTTCATTTTCACTTTCTTTTTCACCATCTTTGACCAGTTACCGGTTAAGAATCATAAAAAAAATCATAAAAAATTTGATTTTTTTTTTGTGAAAAAGGCTATGACTACAGCGAAAATCCAGTGATTTATTTGGTCTGGGACCCGCTTTAACCCAATTGGAATCAGAATTGATGGGAAGTCGGCTATGATGTCTGATGTTCCACAACCAATTTGGTGTTGATGGTGGTAGCTCAACTAAAGATATTTTACTTAAAAGCTAATATTCCAATTATTGCTGACAGAAAAGTGTGTGAAAAAATCATCAAATTTGCTAGAAACTAACTCTAAGTTTCGGGCAATCCTCCTAACACGTCGATCCACAGCAGCTGTATCCGACAAACTAAAACAAGTTGATATTTTATTGTGAAAAACGTTTGGGTTGTGGCCTGCAAACATAGATGATCGAGTACTCTCTGACGAAGACAGAAGTTTGTTGAAATTGATGAGAACCGATTGCAAAGTCACATTTGGGACACATGATATGGTTCTGGACTCCGAGGGTGTATTCGAAACAGCGTTCGCACAGGTTCGTGAACCATGGAAGAACGCGAGAACACGTTCAAGAGTCTCGAACATGAGAGAACAGTATCCATGGTAACAAGTTGAATTAAATTTATACAATCTTTTACTGTAACTTGAGAAGTATTGTATTACGCATAAATGACTTTCTTTTTTTTTGGTGTTACGCTGACAACATACTACATGCAGTTTTTGAACGGTATTAAACTTTTAAATCAATAAATGCACCCATGATACCGTTTTCTCGGCAGCTGTCGACGCATCGACCATGTATGTTCTTGCCTCATACCAGCTAACGAGGTAGTGTGGGATTTGAGAACGGGAGCGTGTTCGCGAACGCATTCCCGACTGTTTGAGACCGACAAGAACCCAATTTCCATCCGTTCTCTGCACCGGAACACTGTTTCGAATACACCCCTAGATGCGACGAACGTGTGAACGGAGTAATATCGAAAACGAACGCTGAGAAGCTGCACAGTGACAGAGTTAAGAACTCAACACAAACTAGGTTTTCGGGAATAACATAATTCGCCTGCGTGCAGGGGTCTTTAGCAGTGGGAGGAAACTGGAGGACTCACGAGGGGACCCTACTCCTTGTCATGTACAAGCAGGGATTCAAAACCAGGGGTGATAAACCTTGTGTTAAAATGCGCATGCATTAACCATTCGACCACCCAACTCCCCCATTTGAATCTAGACCAAAGATCTGCAATAGACAGATTTAGCTCTTACATAATACATATTTAAATTTAAGACCTACAATATTGTGAAACGAAATGAAATGGGGTATAACACCGGCATATGCCATACCGTGTTCTATGAGGAAAATTTTGCCCGGGCAGTGGCACTATGACTTACTCTTATATCGAATTTCAACTGCCAAGGGATCTTTTATGTGCATGCCAATGTATACACGGGACCTCGATTTTTCATCCCACCCGAACAACTAGACAGCTGTTCTTGTTAGGCCCTCCGTCCTGCACCACTGACAAGAGGAAACCACGTCAGAAAATCCTGATGAAATTTCTTGGCCAATGCCGGGATCGATCACCCAACCTCCAGGCTAGCTAGCCAGCGTCTTACCCACTTAGCCACTGCGACTCCCCAACAATATTGTACCCATGTACTTACATCTACCACCAAATATACTACCAGCAGCTAATCCTGCTAAAAAGTGATTATACATATCATCAGTTTTACGTATGTTACCAATTATACACAAGGCAGAGGCATACGTTGCAGCTGCCCCACCTAAAATAAAAGAGAGAGAAATATATTTCAATAATCTATCCTCAATCTGATTCAAATACAGATCTTTATTTTGTTACGTTTTTTTATACTTTCGATAGCCTCTACTACATGAAGAGCTGACCAGTTGTAGTGGGAGGTCACATGAGGAGTCAAACGTCAGACATTTTATTAACAAATCAGTTGTGCATCGCACGCCAAAATCTAGCTGCAACAGACAGTTTCATTGGCCAATCCCTCACTTCAACCAAATCGCAGGTTATATAATAAATCTTCCAGATCCTAATGTAGTAAAGACAAGTATCTCTCACTTGTTGGGTGTCAAACAAATCATGTGATGTAAACAACTAGCCATGTGGCTTGAACTGGTCCACAACGTACTGGTCTGTATGAGTGAATGTACGCGTCAGATTTGTGTATTAAACATTAAAAAAACAACATAATTCCATATTTATAATATCCAAATAAACAGTCCCATTGGTCGGATTCTCATCCAAATGACGACGCGTAAACAAAATACAGTAGCAAACATATGCCGAATCTGTATACTTGCTATAGAGACCAATGACCACATTGAACCAACTACATCACTTCTGGTTTTAATAAAAATTAATATTTTTCCTTGTGTTACACAGAGATGATGGTTTATAAATATATATTTAAGATTTATGAAAACCTTTTTAAAAGTCGTCGATCTTCCCCTTTAACTGATGGGTGACTTTAGCTTTTAGGCCTCTTGGTTTTTTCTATAGTATATAGAACTGTAAATTATGAATGAAATGGGGTTTAATGTCCTGCTTTTCTGCACCAACTGGGCTAATGAGGACGACATACATGTATGTCATGCAATTTTGCCTGGACTGTGGAGCTACGACCTACTCTTACATCGATTTCCAGCTGTAAATTTTGTCCGTAAAAAGGAAAAATATTGGTTGCGTTGATATTCCATGTGCACATCATGTTCATTATTTCATCAGGATTTTCTGGCGTAGTTCATCGGATGGGACAAAAAACGAGGTACCGTGTATACATTGGCGTGCACATAAAAGATCCCCTGACATTTGGAATTCGATATGAGAATAAGCCATAGTTTAGCTGCCCTGGCAAAATTTTCCTCATAGCACACTGAATGGCATATGCTCGTCTTCATTAGCCCAATTGGAGCAGAAGAGTAGGACATTAAACCCCTTTTCATTTCATTTTTTCATGTTCATTATATGGTTGTATATGTATAAGAAGAAGGAATAATACCATACCTAATAAGCCAACATGATGTCCAAATCTTGTTGCACATACAAGTAATGTTGAAGGTTTTGTATACATTCCCAAATCTAAAACAGTTGCATAGGCACCTGAAAAACAGTATTTTTATAAAATAGATAATTGTCAAGGAACAAAACGTACCCTCACTACAGTTCGATAGACAACCCATGTACTGCAATGCTTTCATAGGCATTTTGATCTTTAGTAGGGTACCCCACGCAGTCAAGTGACAAGTTCCCAAATGATTACACAGCAGACATGCAGCAAGTGCATAAGCCGCAGTAGGTTCTTTTAGCTTATAACAAATAGCCATGGCATGTGGAATTTTCTACACGTAAGTCATAGAAAATATATTGTTCACGATTCTGAATAACATAATATTTAGCTGTTAGTAGATATAGAAAATTACATTTTTTTTTTTTAAATTCTTTATTATTATCTATCTTGGAACTATTTTGAGAGAGAGAGAGAGAGAAAGAGAGAGAGAGATGGGGTTTAACCTCCACTTGACACAAACTAGGTCATTTCGGGACTAACATATGGGTTAATTTTATTTCAATAATTCGCGTGCGCGTAGGGGTCTTTAGCAGTGGGAGGAAACCGGAGGACCCGGAGAAAACCCACGAGGTTGGACAGGCGACCCTACTCCTTGTCACGTGAGAGTGAGAGAGAGAGAGAGAGAGAGAGAGAGAGAGAGAGGGGGTAACTTCCACTTGACACAAACAAGGTCATTTCAGGACTAACATATGGATCAATTTGATTTCAATAATTCGCTTGAGCATAGGGGTCTTTAGCAGTGGGAGGAAACCGGAGAAAAACCTCAAGGTTGGACAGGCAACCCTACTCCTTGTCAGGTACAACCATGGAATTGAAACCATGCAAATGACAGGCCTTAACACAACGTGCAAGCGCTAACTATTCGGCCATCCACCCCCCCCCCTCTGGAACAAAGAACTGTCAGCTCTTTATCAACATGTAAATCTTCCATAAATACATCTTTAAATCGAAACGTTAAAAGCTAGCTTTGCCCGATATTTTAAAATGGAATAGGTTTGACATCTTTAACATCATGAAGGCGGGGCTAAATATAAGTAGTGTACAATTGCCAATCAAAATACGGGACATAAAATTAGAGAGAGAACCTTACTTTAAGGATCACACAGAGCTAATGCACCTGAATTATGAAAGGCCTACCGGTATCTTATTTTGTTAAAAGCACCGCTTGATTAATTTTACTGACAATATTTGCAGATAAACAAAAATGTGTCACAACATTGGACCGGGTATGTTTAATTACCGATAGTCCTAATTGCTGCAATAAAAAGCTTGCCATGTGAAACTAAAGGCAACCAATCATAACTAAAAACAAAAATATCATCTCAACATTTTTAGCTACCTGCTCGTAGCTAGACCGGGTATAAATACTTTAGTAACAGATTCTTATTGTCTTATTAGCTCTGGGATAGACTAGAGGCAGAGCCGTTAAGAATATGTTACTAAAGTAAATAGACCGGGTACAGTACTAACTTCATTCTCACTGAAAACTAAAACAGCTGCATGGCTTGAAATGTTCGCGTGTCTACTTGTCGCCGACAGGCGATTTTTTCGTCTGACAGGTAGCAAGTAAAACTACCTGTCACTTGTGACAGGTGGACTAAATTTTACTTGATGTTCAGTAAATTGACTTAAGACCACAATACTCACGTCAAGTACATTTAATTATTTGTTTCTAAATGCAAGAATTAAGCAAGGAAATACCGCGAAAAACTGCCATTTGCACTGTTTACATTTCGCTCTGTCGTAGGCAACAGTTACTCACACAGTTTGGAAGTAGACAATTTTATAACAATGAATTTCACACCATCTACGCTTGTTTTCATCTGCTTGACATTAGTTTATAGCATTATGAAGTATTATATATAAATAAATTAAAACGCACCCCCAGGTCATCTAAAATAGTTCTATCGTAACGACACCATAGTAAATATAGTGGTAGCTGGAATGGAAATGCACACGGCTCGTTGCCTGGTGACATGTATTTAATCATTTAAAAAGTTTAAATAAGTTTCCATAAATAAAGGCTATGAATAATTTATAAGAAAATTTATAAAATCAAATAATTAGATCGGAAAAATATTTCATATATAAATATAATATAGACAGGATATGTGAGAAAGGAATTCCAGGGGGCGTTACTTGTCCTCCGCACCCGGTAGGCTACATGTAAATACGGTACCATGCACAGGTGTGATTCGTGTTTTGATAATCAATGTATTACAGATATTTTATAATCTGAATTCTACACCTCAACAGCGAAGTATTCGATTTATTACGCAAGTTTGGTAACATGACACTTGGCGGAATTCGCGTGGATACAGATGATAGAATTGTACGAATCTTCGAGTCGCTGAGCCGAAGCAGATTCGCCGACTTGAAGAAATAAAAAGGTTTCATATTACGATATCTATATGGAGCAATGTACGTCAAGACCTAAACAATTTAAGAGTGTGTGTGTGTACCTACATGTATGGATATGTGTCATGTGAATTGTGATTGGTCTTTGATAATTGAGAGTGACAGGTTATTTACTGACTGAACTCTGAAGCGACAGGTATGAAGAAAAGCTCTTTTTAAACATTTCGAGGCCTGAGCTGGGTTCATTGAATTGGACAAATTAGGCTCTGAGTTTTAGTATAGATTCATGTAACAAAAGCTATTAACAACTTTGATAATTTCAGAGCATTGCTGCATATTTAATTTTATGCATGCCATGATCATGATAGGTGAGGTCTAATTTTTGGGCTTCTTTACACTCAAAAATAATTTATTATTTAACAAACATTGAAACAAGTACCTGCAACAACTCCATATTTAGTTAGATAATACGTTTTATTCAAGCAGTCACTACTAGCGGGTTTTGTCCATGGGTTATAATAATTTCGGACCATTTTAGATTAGTTTGTGCTTTGCCAAAATAAAAATCTTTCAATACTTTCTAGAAACCATAACTTCCGGCAAAGACGGAAGGGCAACTTAAGGTCGTATACGCTAGAAACCGGTTTCGGTTGTTGTCCGGAAATTACCGAGTTCGTCGCTGCGATTCCCTGACAACTCATCCCAAAGACAACTCATCCCAGACAACTCATCCCAATAAAAGACAACTCATCCCAAGTCAAAAGACAACTCATCCCAAGTCAAAAGACAACTCATCCCAAGTCAAAAGACAACTCATCCCACTTTTAAAGACAACTCATCCCAAGTCAAAAGACAACTCATCCCAAGTCAAAAGACAACTCATCCCAACATCATTATTGGTTCGGATTGTCCTGCCAAACACGCTCCATGTTGGGATGGTCCATATATTACTGGTCAGCCAATTATCCATTATGTATTTCATAACCACTTTAATTTGATCGGTTGTGGCCTTTTCTTCTAATTTATTGAATGTTGGCAATATATGTTCAGCGGGTAGGAATGGCAAGGCAAGGACTTTTCTAAAAAACTTATTCTGTACCTCAAAATCAAGATCTGTTGGATCAGCTGGTCTCTCTTTTTGTCGGAACCGATTACAATATCGAAGCAGGTTCGAATAAATGGACACAAGCTTCCTTTTCCCTCGTTCGGTACCATTATCCACGACCTTGTATGTCACTATTGCTTCTGTTGTTGATAAATCGTCGCCTATGGACTCATCCGTCAATGAACTGTTCATAATAAAAATACAATAAAAACTGAATGTTAACAATATAAAAAAATTTGTATAGATTATGATATAGGATAAGGATAATACTAAAACTTGTTCTGGATGTGATAAACTATGCTTGTACTTACTTTTCCTGGATATTTTCTGGCATATCGACATCAGGGCAAACGGATAAATGGAATGTAGTCTGATCAACAGGTAAAGACAGTCTTGTACTCTCCGCCCTCGGTGAAGTAAAACTCGTGGTTTCATCAGGTGCTGAACATTCAATACATTTGAAGGCCACCATTGTCAATTCTTTAACCATCCTGCGGTACTGAGCTCTAGATATATCTGAAAGATACAATATTTTTAGTACAATAGTGTTGAGTTTTGAATTGAGTATACAATAGTGTTGAGTTTTTAATTTAGTACAATAGTGTTGAATTTAATACAATAGCTTTGAATTTAAAAAACAACATTAAAGTCTTACCAGTATTACATGTCCTATGCTGCCATCATTCACACCCGTCACACTGAACAGCCTCCTGTCTTGGGCGAACTACTGACTCACAAACTATACAGCTATCAGACATTTTGAAAAATGATACTGAAATATTTGATTTCAGTATTTTTATACAATACCCCAGCTTTGACACTTACTCAAACCATTGTAATTAGCATTATGATATTTGTCTTTGATGTGCTTCACCAATTTAATTAGTTTGTAATAGGGGTAAATACTACAACTCAGTTTAGTTAATCGTTGTTTTGTTAATTGATTTTGTTTGAAGTGCTTCATGATGAAAGAATAAAACAAACACATCTACCAATGTGTTAAAACAACAAAGTACTAAAACAGTAATACAAACAGTAATCATCAATTTATTACAACAACAATATCAATTTGAATAAAACAAAGAGTAATCACCAATTTGATTAAAACAACAATATCAATTTGATTAAGATAACAAATTCTGATTGGTTATGGTCTGAGTGGTCTTCAAAGATAGCAATTGTATTGAAACAAATATCACTTATAAGTTATATTTGTTGGGATGAGTTGTCTTCTAACCCATGGTTTAAAGTTGGGATGAGTTGTCTTTTATAGTGGGATGAGTTGTCTTCTAACTTGGGATGAGTTGTCTTCTAACTTGGGATGAGTTGTCTTATATTGGGATGAGTTGTCTTGGGATGAATTGTCTTTGGGATGAGTTGTCTGGATACCGTCGCTGCGTGCGGAATTTACCGAGATAATGTTCACGTGTACCTTAGTATCGTTAGTATTCTAGTTCTATGATTACATCACTTCCGCAATTCTAAAAATATTATTCATGACATTTAATTTAGTGAAACGAGGCAGTTTTTCATTGGATGCCTTACTTTAGACAGGTAAATAATGACTATGTTCTATGTTGATCTTCAGTAATAAATTTATATAGAACGCAGATTATAAACATAACTAAGGTAAACTACGACAAAAGTAGGATAGCAGGAAAGCTAAACTAAAAGCCAAAGAAAAGAGAAAAGGGTAACACTTGACAAATTAATATTCAAATAAGAAGAACCGTCGAACTAGGAGTAGGAAGTCTAATCCAGTTGATCAGTAAGACTTAAAACTATAGAGTAACTTAGTAAGTGTAGTTCCTTTCTTTATTATATTAGCTTTACGAACGGTTTCTGATCGGGCGATATCGACTTCGTCCGATCAGAACGTTCCTGAAGGAACTAAAATGACAGGCAGCTACAGCAACAATTACAATACCGTATAAATCTAGTAGGCCAACAAACAAGTTATTATTAGATTTTGCTTTAGTAGACACTATGGTATACTATAAATATAAACTGACACTTTTACAGTCCTTCAGAGTCCTTGCGTAGGCTATATTTTTATGTTCCTTTCGTTCCACTGTCACAGTAAGTCATTGGGTTCAATCCCATAGATGGCAGAGAAAGTTCATCAAATATTTTAAGACGAGCTGATCTGGTGGCAAGGTAGCCCTACAGCGTATCGTCTTTCTGATGGCACAAATAATGGAGGTCCTGTGGACACATTGGCGTGTTTTATTGACAGTTGGAACTTAATTGGAAATTGAAATAGTGGGCTGTAGTGTAGTAAAAATAATCCGCATATACATGGGGGCATATACATATCATGGTGTATGTCGGCCTTCATCATTAGCCCGTACATGTAAGGAGCAGAAAAGTAACTACCACATTAAGTTCCCATTGTATCAAATTAAGACTGGCTTTGATGTCACAAGTTAGAACGTCAAAAAATTCATGATAATTACATGTAAGGGCGATAATCCGGGTTTCAAAAAACGCTAATTTAAAGGAGCTAAATCGCTAACATTTGGGACCTAGAAATTCACAAAAGTGGGTCGCAACGCATATAATACTGTAATATGAATGTATATAAACTGATTTACATTTAATGGTTTCCGTTTTTACTCCAATTTCAAATCAGTTATGTTCGGCGAAATAAGTCAGCAATCTCAATTGAGTGCAAATTTCTAGCATCTAGTTATTCTAGTCTACATAACTCCATTTGATTTGGTGCAATGTGTCTAGCCTCGTCCCTCGAGTCTCTCAATACAACTGGGGCTGAAGCGCATTATGGTACACGATTCGTGTACCAATGTACCAATTTTGAGTTACGGACTTAGGTCCTTTAATATATAATGTGTAGTCAGCAAACAGGAGCAAAGTAATTTGTTATGTTTTTATGATTGAGTTTGACCTTCTATTTTCTTTAAAGGACAGCTGTCTAGTCATTCGGATTGGACGTTAAAACTGAGGTCCCATGTATACGTTGCCGTACACGTAAAAGATCCCTTGGTAGTTGGAATTCGATATAAGAGTAGACCATAGTGCCTCTACCCGGGCAAAATTTCACCTCATAGCACACTGTATGGCATATGCCCGTCTTCATTAGCCCAGTCAGAGTAGAAGAGTAGGACATTAAACCCCATTTCATTTCATTTCTATTTCTTTTGCAGATTTTTTGTACCTAACATAAGAATTAAAAAATGGAGAGAAGAAGTGTTTGTGACACTGTCAATAGGATTATTTTTACATTAGCTTGTTTTGTACCATTGGTATTGGGTGAGTTGTTAATATTATTGAACAGGGTTTAGAGATGTGTAGGTCAATGGATAAGTTCAGGACTCTTAAAAAATAAACAGACGAGTTTTCATAATAGACAAAAAAAGACTTTGATCATTTTTGCATTGCTTTATGTTTAAATTTGAACAATCTGATTAAAGTACAGATCTATATTTTGTTCTGTTTTTTTTTTATACTTTCTACGACCTCTACTACATGAATATCTGACCAGTTGTAGTGGGAGGTCCTGTCAGGGGTCATACTAGCGACTTTTGACCATATTACGTCAGACATTTGATCAACCAATTAGCTTGATGTTTCTATTATGATACCTATAGTTCCATGCCAAAAACTCGCTGCAACAGTCTGTTTGATTGGCTAATCCCTCACAGCAGCCAGAACGTGGGCTATATATTAACTCTTCCAGAACCTTGTGTAGTAAAGACAAGTAAAGCAAAATTTTGAACTACAAAAATCGAAACGAAATAAGATCTGTGTTTTAATCAGACTGAAATTTTTAAGCAATTACACAAAATTTTTAGTAGAGGCAGCATGTACTTTTGCCTGTTAAGGAATTTAGTAAACAAAAGCTCTTCTTACTCACAAAATGATCTAGTCTATTATTGGTGGGGTTGGATGGCCGAATGGATAGCTTGTGCGCGTTGCATGATAAGGTTTGTCATTGAGTCAACTGGCATGGTTGTACATGACAAGGAGTAGGGTCTCCTGTCCAGTCTCATGGGTTTTCCCTGGGTCCTCCCACTGCTAAAGACCCCAATGCGCAAGCGAATTATTGAAACAAAATTGAACCATATGTTAGTCCCAAAATGACCTAGTTTGTGTTAAGTGGACGCTAAACCCCATCTCTCGCTCTCGCTCTCTCTCTCTCTCTCTCTCCTCTCTCTGATCTTTTATTATTGTATTGAATGTAATAATTGTGGATTTTGATGTTTTTAGGTGGATATCAACAAGATAGAGTTTTATTAACAGATGTTAAAACTTTAACATTACGACATGGTCTCATGACCAATGCCAGACGATCATCCCCAGTACCACAGGTAAATTATTACTTTTAATGGATACATTCATTCGTCTGGCTTAATATCTACTTCCACCCAGGGTGGTAAATTGTATGGTTGTTGTTGTTCTTAGTGTTTAATTTCCGTTTCCACCGAAGGTGATATCACTGACAAGTTGTCTTATTTTAATTTTTATTATCTTAGCGCACGCGCAGGGGTCTTTCCTGTGGGAGGAAACTGGGGTACCTGGAGTAAACCCACGATGTTGAGAAAACGCCCCTATCTCCAAGCCGCATATGGTCACACCAGGGATTGAAACCATGACTGCAAGTCAGAGGTGACCGGCTAGCTAGAGGCCGAAGCGCGATACTCTAGACCACTCTGGTCATCCCAATCCCCCTCAATTGTATGGAGTAGCCATTTTCTTTTATAGTTCACCACAAAGCATCATACATGAAGTCAGTGGCCGGCAGTCAGGGATGATGTAAAAACTAACACTCCCATCCATAAATTTCATCAGAATATTACATCATTTTTACCCTTTTGTTTGATTTCGATCTATTATTGTAAATAATACAAAGAAAGATGTCTCATATCTCGGCCATTTTCTTTTTTATTAACGGATATAATCTGATTAAAAATACAGTTCTATGTTTCGTTTTTTTATACTTTTGATGGCCTACACTGCATGAAGATCTGATCGGTTGTAGTGGGACTTCATTTCAGAGGTCATACAAGCGGCTTTTGGCCCTATCACGTCATTGATTAATCAACCAGCATTGACGTTTCTAGTGGTTTACCCACAGTTCCATGCACAGTACACCAAGAACTCGCCATAACAGATCGTTTCATTGGCTAATTCCGCACAGCAACCAGAACGTGGTTTATATACAGATCCTAGTGTAGTGAAGACAAGTAAAACGAAATTTTGAACTATATAAGTATAAAAAACAAAATGAAATAGGATCTGTGCTTTAATCAGATTGTCAATATTGATATATAAGATCTGTTACATATACCCCCAGCTGTTGTAATATATGTATAATAATTTTGTCTATTATTAGTATTATATTGACACTATAATGCATGACTAAAAGTTGATGAATATTGATTTTTTGGCAAGCTTGTAGGTGGTGAATATATTAATACAAAACCAGTAGATTACGTACATTAATACATATGATTAGAATACAGCAGCATTTTTATTAGTTATTCAAGCAACAGTTGTTACTTAATGCTCTGGTGCCTTAAATTCAAACGTGACAAGGAGTAGGGTCGCCTGTCCATCCTCATGGGTTTTTCTCCGGGTCCTCCGGTTTCCTCCCACAGCTAAAGACCCCTACACTCAAGCGAATTATTGAAATAAAATTGAACTACGTGTTAGTCCCGAAATTAATTAATCAATTGGGTTGTTTATTTTTCAACAGTGATTGAGAAATGAAACACTTGTAAATTGGACACTCAGCTTTAAACTGGACACAAGTACAAATTAGATGATTTTTGGTGATTTTAAAAGTTTTTTACAAATTTTTAAACAAAGATCTGATATTAAACAAATGTGAAAGAAATTGCACTAGATACACAAGATTAAATGATATCAGGATTACAGTGAAACTTTCCAGAAGTCCAGCTTAAGATAGGGTAGAAATGGGAGGATGTAAAAATAAATTTGCACTCACCATTCCCATTGATAAAGGCACTACAGAGTCTAATAAATTTATTGATTTGTGGTGTTTGTTTGTAGTTGAAATGTGTTGGAGGTACTGCAGGTTGTCATGCGTTTGTACCACAAGTTGTACAGTGTTATAATAGAGGTTCTGATGGATATGATGTACAGGTAATATAATAAACTTCTACTTTCAATTTACACTTTAAACATTATCATTTAATACATGTATATTAGTATTTTTATACGCCCACATTTTCATGTAGACATGCCCCTGTCCGTTCGTCTGTTTGTCCAAACGTCTGTCCGTCCACAATTTGTTTGTGGACACTCTACAGGTCACAATTTTTATCCGATTTTCATGTAACTTAAAATATAGGTCTATCTCCCATAGATCTTGATTCCTTTCGATATTGACATGTATTGGATTATGGCCCCTGATTGTACAAATTTTTTTTTTTTTTTAGCTTGCTCTCTATCCATCTCTTGCAAAATGTGGGCGTATCTTGCCTAGCAACCACTGATTATATATTTCTGACTATTAAATTATTCGATATATTAGTATGGTTTATATACCAACAACACTATCTTTATCATTCAATATAGTAGTATTGTTTATAATTCTGACCATGTCAACTTTACCATTCAATATAGTAGTATGTTTATATTTCTGACTTCGATCCTGGTGTTGACCGAGATAGTTACCAGAGATTTTTTGATGCGGTTTCTCCTTGTCAGTGGTGTAGGACGGAGGGCCTGACAAGGACAGCTGTATAGTCATTCGGATGGGACGAAAAACCGGTCCTGTGTATACATTGGGGTGAACGAAATAATCCCTTGACTGTTGGAATTTGATATAAAGAGTAGCACCGCTGTCTGGGCACTATTTCCCTCAAAGCACACTGTATGGCGTATGCCCACCTTCATTAACCCAGTTTGATGCAGAAAACACAGCTATGAACATATCAGTAGACACCAGTGAATACTCAACTGGGGTTACATGGTTTTGCTCATTTTCTTAGTTTGGCGTTCAAAATTTCGCGGCACATTTAGGAAGATCCCACGGCACACTGGTTGAGAATCACAGTACTAGTTCTAGAGTTCCACATAATAGATAAATGTTCTGCTACATGTCATTTAAAAGTAAAATAGTCCATAAAGTACTATTTGAATTATTTTTTATTGCTATATGAATTATTTTGTTGTTTATTTTATAGTGGGAATGTAAAACTGATATGGATAATGAATATAGATTTGGTCAGGTAGAAGTTTCATGTGAAGGTTATGATTATCCTGATGATCCATTTGTATTAAAAGGTTCATGTGGGGTAAGTTTCACTTCTCTTATCAATGTTCTTCTTACACGTTTAATTATGGATTACCCCACTGGTTCCCCCCCCTTGACAGTGATGTAGGACGGAGGGCCTGACAAGGACAGCTGTCTAGTTGTTCGGATGGTACGAAAAAACGAGGTCCCGTGTTCACATTGGTGAGCACGTAAAAGATCCCTTGACAGTTGGAATTCGATATAAGAGTAGGCCGTAGTGCCGCTGTCCGGAAAAAAATTTCCCTCATAGCACACTCTATGGCGTATGCCCATCTTCATTAGCCCAGTTCGGAGCAGAACAGTAGGACGTTAAACCCCATTTCATTTGTTTGACTCCAAATGCTGTTAGCAATTTTGAACAATGATGGTACCGGGCCCGTGTAAGTACCTCATTATTCCAACAGTAACAATCACAGAGTATTGTAAAACAATTAGTTAAATTAAAAAATGCCTGGCATTAAACCTGGATATTACGATGACAATGATAATATATGGAATCTTGTAATAGAGATTTTCTAGAGGTGATGTACAAGACTACAGAGCTTATTATAGACTGAATGATCGAGACTTGTAACCGCCTGATCAGTATCTCACAAGTATTTGTTTACAATTATCTGTTTATTTTTCAGTTGGAATATTCTCTAGATTTGACAAAAGAAGGCCATAAAAAACAAGGAAGACAATCCAATCAACATTCTGGTTACCATAGTAATCAATATCATGACAACTCTAATAGTTATTACAAGTGAGTTAAATGATATATAGTTCTTGAAAACATCTCAAAATTCTTGGTTTATTCTAGATAAGTAAATTAATGTGTCTATGTGGGTACTCGATTGAAAGTTCCGGAATTGAATTCTCTCAATCCCAAAAATAGTGACAATCGAGTGAAAAGGTGGATTTCGGACTACAACGCACGCGTCGACTGAATAAGTAAATATCTCAACCAACCAACCATGCAGCCAAAACATTTTTGTTGTGTTTAATTATGCCACGATTCTACTCACACCACCTCCGTTGTGGGGACTAACAGAAGTGAATTACACGTTACTCGATCACAATTCTGTCAATTTTGGACGTACTGGATTGTGAATCTAGCATTCCCTACGATTACCTATAGGTCAATATGCTTTCTGATTATACCATCTAATGAGATACAAGAAGAAGCCTTTCGTATTGAATGATGCCTCCCTGTGTACAAACTGTGATTTGAGGATATATTTGGACCAAAAACATATTCAAACTAATTCTTATCTATCAAACGTTTGCTTCAAAACATTTTAATTGCAAGAAACCTACCCCATGCCACAAGAATCTATTATAAGAAGACTCGTTTATCGTATGATGGGGGGTTGGATGGCCAAATGATTAGCACCTGCGCACTGTATCATAAGGCCTGTCATTGAGTCAACTTTCGTGGTTTCGAATCCCCGGTTGTACGTGACAACGAGTAGGGTCGCCTGTCCAACCTCTTGGGTTTTCTCCGGGTCCTCCGGTTTCGTCCCACTGCTAAAGACCCCTACGCGCAAGCGAATTATGGAAATAAAATTGAACCATATGTTAGTCCCAAAATGACCTAGTTTGTGTCGAGTGGACGTTAAACCCCATTTCTCTCTCTCTCTCTCTCGTTAGTGACTGTCCATTTTCCATAAATTCTTTGATTATCCTTGGCATCTCTCCATGTACTCACAACTGTTAGGCATTAGATCATCACTCAAGTAGACAAACTGCCAGTTAGTGACACCCTTGCATTCACCTCATTTACTAACACTAAGATGATAATGACCATGCCTAAAAAAATTTCCTAATTGCTTCCAGGAGATTTTCGAATCACTTCGTCTAAATCTCAGAAAATCTTTAAGTTTTCACTATATCTTCCGGTTTCCTCTCACTGCCAAAGACCCCAACACTTCACATGTGAATTGTTAAAATAATATTGAACCATATGTTAGTCCCGATATGATCGAGTTTGTGTCAAGTGGATGTTAAACCCCATTTCTTTCCTTGATTTTATAGATGGTTATACATTCTGTTTTAGAAGTATATTTATTACAATATGCATTATTTGATGTGAATATTTTCTCCCCTATTTTTCAGCAGTCACAAGAAATCGAAATCTGGATTTGGAGATTTGATATTTATTGCTGGTGTTGGGTTGGTCATCTATGCCATCTATAAATCATGTATATCATCTAATGGTCGACATGCTGGGCAAGATCAGTACCCTAGAGATCAAGGCTATCCAAGCTCTCAGAGCCCCCCTCCACCAGGCTTTAGACCAGAATATATGCCAGGAAGTGGTTAGTAATAATTATCTGGAACAATTTATTTTGAAACTGATATGAAATGGGGTTTAACGTTCTACCGTTCTGCTCCAAACTGGACTAATGAAGACGGGTATTTTGAAACTGAAATATCTCAAGTCATAGTGATATTTAGTGGGTGAATTACTTACTTTGAAATGACTTTTGGGGGTTGGGGTCAAATTAACTCCCGAATTATAGACATCACATTTTTTCTACTTTTCAAACTTTCAAGAGAAAACTACAGCGAAATTCTACAATTGATATTTTGATTTTATTTTGAAAATTTTTAGTAATCAGTTCTAATTATATTTTAGGGTGGTTAGATCGTGAAAAGTTAGATATTGTCCAATAATTCTTCTTGATAATTAGAAATTTCCCAGAGTTAATAATTTTTGTGTTTTCCCTAAAAACAAATCTGATATAATTGGTCAAAAGATGTTGGTGACATAATCTTCTTGTTTTTATTTGGGGATCCACAGTGGCTAAGTGTGTAAGACGGCCACAGTGGCTAAGTCACAAGTGTAAGACGCTGGCTCACTAGCTGGCATTGGCCGAGAAAGTTCGTCAGGATTTTCCAGCATGGTTTCCCCTTGTCAGTGGTGCAGGACGGAGGGCGTGATAAGGACAGTTGCCTGGTCGTTTGGATGGGACAAAAAACCAAAGACCCTTGTATACATTTTCGTGCATGTAAAAGATCCCTTGGCAGTTGGAATTCGGTATAAGAGTAGGCCATAGTGCTGCTGCCTTGGCAAAATTTCTCTCATAGCACACTGTATTGCGTATGCCTGTCTTCATTAGCCCAAATTCGTTTCATTTCGGTTTGTATTTGTTATATTGTATATTTTTTTTATTTCAGATAATTGTCATGATGGCTACAGCAACACACATACAAGAACTAATGGAATGGGAGGATTGGGTGGAAGTGGGTTAGGAGGGGGATTAGGCGGTGGAGGAGGTGGATTCTGGACAGGTGCAATGACCGGTGGATTACTGGGTTACATGTTCGGAGGAAGAAATAATGGCGGCGGTTACAGACGCGGTTATGGAACTGGGTATGGTAACACAGGATCATCATGGTTTGGTTCTGGATCAACTGGTTCAGGATGGGGATCATCTGGTTCAGGATTGGGTTCTGGATCAGGATCATCAGGGTTCAGTTCTGGAACACGATCAGCGTCAGGTTTTGGTGGAACCAAAAGAAGATAATTTCAATGAACATTAATTTCTTCAGATATTTGAATAAATGCACCAGATTAAGTCAGAAATTTCATCTGAGCACAATGTGACATTTATAGAAATAATAAACAAAGTATGATTTAATTTGGTGTATTCAAAAATTTCAACCCCAAATCTTGTGATATTTAATTTGGTGTAATGCGAACCTGTTAAGTATTTTTTAGGTTTTTAGTTTTTGAAATGTTACTTTTGTTGTATATGCATGATAATTATGAAAACAAATCACAATGTTTTACAAGAATATCTAATAGTCCTAATCTGAAATAAGTAGTACTTTCCTAATACTGTTACATACTGTTACTTCTCCCATGATGTCAACTTTTGGCTGGTTTCCATAAATCATTGTTTTCTGGGGTTGTTTTTGGTCAAGGAAGGGTTTTTTTTATGTACAAAGCAACAAGAAAGCCGGAACAAAAAGACAAGTATTAATCTTTATGTATATAAAACCAATAGTCCGTATTCTAATGGAAAATAAATATATTTCCGAAAGAGTAATCATATTCATAGAATTATGTCCTGTTCAATTTTAAAAAAAACATCCACAGAAAGCAGGAGCAAAAAAAGCAATTAAGTATTAATCTTTAGATATATAATCAATAGTCTGCATTCTAATGGAAAAAAAGAACATTTTCGAAAGAATAATCATATTACAAAGAATTGTGTCCTGTTCAATTTGAAAAACTTATACAGAAATTTGACTAGTTTGATTTTGTGTTATCAAGTACAGATCTAAGTGTAGTCATCATGATGTATGTATAGAAATTTTTGCGTGTGTTTTTGTCTGAATTTCTGTTAATATTGAAATCTGGAGATTACTATTTGTAATAATATGTTTTAGCCATAATTTGTTATCTAGATTATCAATTCACGAACCATACTACGCACATTTATCATCTATATTCTTAAACTAACAGGAATCTCCTGTAATAAACTTGAGATGAACAAAAAATGTGAATATTTTACTATAAATTTACATGTATATAAATTGCTAGAATATTTTTGGTTGATAATCTCAGGGTTTGTCATCCTAGAATATATTTTTTGTTTTGGTAGAAGTGTATTTAATACAAACAATAAATTGACGTTACTGTATTATTATTTATAATAAACGCCTTCCCTATTGCAATTATAGGCTGGTAGTATTATTATTGTTGTCATTAACAAAAAATTCATTTAGGCTTGTTTTAGTTTATTAATGAAATCATACAGGCTGTTTTTGTTTAATGAAATCATACAGGCTTGTTTTTGTTTAATGAAATCATACATGCTTGTTTTTGTTTTGTAAATAACTTTTCATTTGTTTCATTGTACAGTAAATCATATATTTTTAATAAACCAATAGAAAATTGTTGTTCATGTCTTGTGTGCATTTTATCTCAACTTCAATAGAAGGCTTGATCTCGCTTTAACTACGTACATCTTATCAAGGCCTGCACATAATACCCTGCATATTTCGGCACTAATTTCGATTGGGTACAAGCCCAGCTTGTGAGCCTATCAGATTCCTCAGTTGCCGTGAATACCAAGTCTCGTGCTTTCAAGCTAAAATGTCTACCTAGGATAATCGAGTTGCAAAGTTCAAGGTTCCGTGGAGGTTGCGATGTCACAACCTCTGATTGGGTGCTACTGTTCAGGTGTCTGTAGATAACGTAGCTATAAGTTCGGGAATTGTGAAGTAATCTAGCAACGTCCAGATGTTGTAAAACTCGCAGTCCAATGTCCAATGTAGGCAGTTACTATAATTAATCATAAAAAAAAAACTTTGTGTCTCTCTGTGGAAATTAGTCTTTTGGTGGGTGCTTATCCAGGTTACTACATCCAAAAATGGATTAAACTACCTTTAATGTCCAGTGAGCATGTTTTATGGATTTAGTGCTTTAAAATAGGGCATATTAATTTTATTGAGATTATTTCGTACTGTCAGTGAGTAAGACGTTGGCTTGCTAACCTGGAGGTCCTGGGTTTGATCCCAGTGTGAGCCAAGAAAGTTCATCAGGATTTTCCGGAGTGGTTACCCCTTGTCAGTGGTGTCGGATGGAGGGTATGACAAGGGACAATGTAGAGTCTTTCGGATGGGACGGAAAAACCAAGGTCCCATGTGCACGTTAAATAACCCTTGACAGTTTGATTTCGAAATTACACTCATTATCAAATTTGAATGGTCAGCTTTAAACTGGACACAAGTACGAATTAGATGATTTTGGTGATTTTCAATGATTTTTTTAAATTTTTAAACAAAGATTTGATATTAAACGAATGTGAAAGAAATTAGTGCTAGGCAGGCCCATAGCCAGTTTGCTGGCTGCAGAGGGGCAGGGAAGTATTTTTGGGGGAGAGGGGGGCACAGTAGGTATTTTAGAGCTATGGTCGGCAAAATTTGTTTCGGGGGGGGGGGGCAAAACATTTTTCGGGGGGGCATTGCCCCCCGCTGGCTACGGGCCTGGTGCTAGGTACACAAGATTAAATGATAATGTCGAATATAGGTGAACAGTGCTGCTCAAGTTACAGGTTGGTAGAAATCTCCAGATTGGCAGCTCCTTGATAAACAGTGGTTCTCTCCCCTTAAATATATAGAGAATCTCCTACCAGTCTTTTTTGATATCAAAAAATATCAACACAAGTTGATAAAGTAACCAAAAACGAGGCTCTGCCGAGGTTTTTTTTACTTTATCAACGAGTGTTGATATTTTTGGATATCAAAAAAGACGAGTAGGAGATTTTATTTATCACCCAATCCCTTCTTACATGCACAAATAGATAAATATAATTCTTTGCTGTAGATTTCACTTTTACTGAACATTACGGCTAGTGATACATTATTTTCTGACAGCAATTCAACCATTGCAAAGTCCTTTATATCTACTGTAGAATGTATTATTGGGTGATAAAATACGTTAAAAGCCCATTTCATTTACAATTAATCCGAACCGATTTCCACCAGCCCATTGTTAACTGTTCTTTGATAAAGAACGTTCTCAGATAAGAGAGATAGAAATAGTTTTTAACGTCCACTCGAAATAAAATGAAATGAAATGGGGTTTAACGTCCTACTGTTTTGCTCCCAAACTGGGCTAATGAAGACAGGCATACGCCACACAGTGTGTTATGAGGGAAATTTTGCCCGGGCAGCGGCACTATGGCCTACTCTTATATCGAATTCCAACTGCCAAGGGATCTTTTACGTGCACGCCAATGTGTACTTGGGACCTCGGTTTTTCGTCCCATCCGAACCACTAGACAGCTGTCCTTGTCAGGCCCTCCGTCCTGCATCACTGACAAGGGGGAAACCACGCTGGAAAATCTGGATGAACTTTCTCGGCCAATGCAGGGATCGAACACCCGACCTACAGGCTAGCGAGCCCCCAAACTAGGTCATTTCGGGACTAAAATATGGTTCAATTTTATTCCAATAATTTGATTGCACGTAGGGATCTGTAGCAGTGCTAGGAAACCGGAGGACCCAGAGTTTTTAGGACCCAGAGAAAACTCGCGAGGTTGGACAGGCGACCCTACTCCTTGTCGACTCAATAACAGTATTTATGATACAGCGCGCATGTGATGACCATTCGGCCATCAAACCCCCACGTTCTCGGATAAACCTTTCTTCATTGTGATTTATTATCACTTGGTAACACCCCATTTGCTTCTCAAATTAGTGTGTTTCTGAAATTGACCAATCAATAAATAGATACATGTACTGTTATTAATTGTTAGCTCTTTCTCTAATCTTCCATAATTCCCCTTTAAGCGGAGTGATAAGCAATTTGATCGTTGGATGTTTTATAAAATAATAACTAATAATCACCATCTATTTATTAAGGGATTAGTGTGGGGGATATCAACCTCACTATACGTTGGGTTGCTTATCGGTACTTTAAATATACAGATAACAAATGATTTAAATCAAAGCCGTTTGTTTATTTTCTATGAACAAAAATTATAACAGAACAAAACACTGATCATCATAATACAAGTTGACTGACTTTAAACACACCTGATTATATAGGTCATATACACTATATATCTATCTACATATATATCTACAAATATTTTTATATCATATCAATCGGATTAAAACATGGATCCTATTTTGTTTCGTTTTTCATAGTTTAAAATTTTGTTTTACTTGTCTTTACTACACTAGGATCTGGAAGAGTTGTTATATAACCTGCGTTATGATTGATGTGAGGGACTAGCCAATGAAATGGTCTGTTACGGCGAGTTCTTGGTGTGCGTTGCATGGAACTGTGGGTAACCTACTAGAAACGTCAACGCGGATTGCTTAATCAATGTCTGACGTTCGTACAACCTGACTCAACCTTTTACTACAACTGGTCAGATCTTCATATAGTGTAGGCCATCGAAAGTATAAAAAAACGAAACGAAATATAGGTCTGTATTTTAATCAAATTGATTTTATATCATATCCTACATGAAATTAACTTACATGTGTGGTAAAACGGTCGACAGTGAGACATTGCGTAATATGTGGATACTGATCTATTAAACATACATTATGCAAGAGCTAAATCTCCCTATTGCTGGTCTTTCTATGGGTCTGAAATGTTATCTAAATTATTAATTAGACATTAATTAACTTATCCATACCACAATCAACTCTTGATGGCATCGCTAGCCTGCGATGTTTATTGGATTAGGTTCCGATTTACTGTTCGACTTCCATTCATAAATTTAATCATGAAATGGATAATCGAGACTATGTTTTTTATCTTACCGACTTTAGTAGTAATGACTTTAGTAATGATGACCGAGGCTGGGTGGTAAATTCAATTGCTAAAATCTCAATTCAGAGTGGATCAATTTGACTGAAATTTTCAGCAAATTCCCTTTACATTATCTAGTTTTTAACTATTATATAGTGCGAACTGCCAGCTCTTTATCTAATCTCCCATAATGTATCTTTAAGTAATGTATTGCTCAAGACCATTAAATAATTTAAAATACAGATACACTGTCCGTATCTCCATGTCAATGAAATAATCGCACGAGTCCAATATATCATCTAGAATAAATAATGTACAATGGGCAGATAACTATTGTTAGAAATTATGGTACGCCAACTTCACAGAATAAGTTTGGCATAATTTGGAAGGTTCATGGTCACTTTTAATTTTTGGGTAAATTATATCAAGTACAGCTTGTTTTAAATCTAACTCTGAATATACCCAGAATAAATGTTAAATATTGAGCTTGACACAAACACACTCAAATCAAACATGGCGTCCTCCACGGAAACCTTGACATTGAACGAACTATGAACTTTTAGCTAGAAAGCGCAAGATTGGTATTCACGATGATCGAGGAATTTGATAAGACTCTTAGTGCCAAAATATGCAGGGTATTACGCGAAGGGTTTGAAGATGATCTTTTCCGCAAATTTTCTATATTTTTATATCATGTGTTTTGTTGTAGTCACCTAACTTACTACACAGAAACTGAAGAATTCTACCATATTCTTTTTTGCACCCATTGCCAGGCTTCCATATTTATTTTTAGTACTTTGTTACCCATACAGATATCAATTTAAAACACTTTATACAAAAATAATATCTCCACTGTTTTTTGCATTTTTTTTAATAAATAAAATGATAATCTTTGGTCTTGAAAGTTCTATTCTATAACGATGTACCGATGACATCATATACTATAAAAAGATTCTTCTTAGATCCGATGATGAGGTTATGGTGTTGCATTGTGGACATAATTTCTTGGCTCCCTGAAAAAAATCAAATTAAATCGAGTTTTATAACACCGCTAAATAGAGAATCTCCTACTTGTCTTTTTTTATATCAAAATTATCAAGACAAGTTGATAATGTAAAAAGAATGAAGCTTTTTTCTTTACTTTAACCACGAGTGTTGATATTTTTCAATATCAAAAAGGATGAGTAAAATATTTTATTTATCACCCAACCCTTTCCATCCTTTTTAATTGACCAATCAAATTCATGTAAAGCGATATCTCCAATGTAGATATCGCTCAGTAGAATATGACAGTTATCACCCAAGCGATATCTACAGTAGAATGTGTTATTGGGTGATAAAAAAATATCATCATTGTTTTTATAATATATAGAAGGCACATTGGCTCAGTGACTATAACGCAGTGCCTTATTCACTGAAAGAGAGAGAGAGAAATGGGGTTTAAGGTCCACTTGACACAAAGTAGGTCATTTCGGGACTAACATGGTTTAATTTTATCTCAATAATTCGCTTGCGCGTAGGGTTTTTTAGCAGTCCCGAAATTCCCTAGTTTGTGTCGAGTGGAAGTTAAACCCCATTTCTCTCCCTCTCTCTATCAATGGTGATATAGACAAGTTGTCTTATTTCATTATGCTTAGCGCACTCGCAGGGGTCTTTCCTGTGGGAGGAAACCAGAGTACCCGGAGTAAAGAAGCCCCTATCTCCAAGCCACATACGCTCACACCAGAGATCGAAACCACAACCGCAAGCCAGAAGTGACCGGCCAGCTAGAGGTCGAAGCACAACACTCTAGACCAATAGGCCATCCCAACCCCTCAGTCAGTAGTGAAAGTGGAAAGGTTTTATACTTACTAGAGTTTGAAGCCAACAAGATTCACAGTGTACATGCCAACATTGTATAGAGGCTAATGGTTCTTTATAGGCATCCTGTAAAAAAACATTCACAACATACTTTTATTGTTTCAATATTTCATGAAATGAGAGAGAGAGAGAGAGAGAGAGAGAGAGAGAGAGATGGGGTTTAACCACAAACTAGGTCATTTCGGGACTAACATATGGTTCAATTTTATTTCAATAATTCACATGCGCGTAAGGTTCTTTAGCAGTGGGAGGAAACCGGAGGACCCAGAGAAAACCCATCAGGGTGGACAGGTGACCCTACACCTTGTCACGTACAACCGGTTGATGAAATGAAATGGGGTTTAACGTCCTTCTGTTCTGCTCCTATACTGGGTTAATGAAGACGGGCATATGCCATACAGTCTGCTATGCTATGCGGGAAATTTTTCCTGGCAAGCGGAACTATGGCCTACTCTTATATCAAATTCCAATTGCTAAGGGATCTTTTACATGCACGCCAATGTATACACAGGCCCTCGGTTTTTGTCACATCCGAACAACTAGACAGCTGTCCTTGTCAGGTCCTCCATCCTGTCCACTGACAAGTGGAAAACACGTTGGAAAATCTTGACGAACATTCTCGGCCAATGCAGGGATCGAACACGCGACCTCCAAGCTAGAGAGCTCAATATTTGATACAATCTTCTTAATTATGAAGAACATAAAAGTTACATAGTATAAATTAAGTTATATTTATAGCACGGCTTTCATGAGTTAACAGGTTTAACAAGAGGCCGAAGGCAAAGGGGTTAAACCTGTTAACGAATGAAGCATGCTATAAATGACTTGCAACACTGACAACTGCTCAACATGCTTATTGTTATTGCACAGAAAACCCACCCCACTTCTCTATATGATTTCTACTAAAACTAGTGTAAACCAGCAAAAGAGTGCAATAACATTGAACATGTCTAGTTATTGCACGGTTAAGTTCCACCCAATCTACTAAAGGGAAAACAATCTGCTTATTTTAATTATGTATAAAATATTATCTGCAATATCAAGTTAAATAAAGCTATTTCACACACGCATGTATCAAATAAATTTCAATCCTATTTCATCAAGATTAAGACTTTATGCTTTTTATTTGTAAAAGTTGTGTTGTTGGGATCATCTTGCTAATTACATCCCAAAAAAACAATTTTACTTACCATACAAATTAGACATTTTTGTTTATTTTTTTGCTCTTCTTTATCTTTAAGTTTTGCTTTTAAAGCTTCAATCAGTTCATGTGATGAGCTAAAATTACTGAAAATAAAAAACAAGAATTAATTTGAATGCTAGATAAACATGTACATGGAACATACTATTTTATCTTTGTTAACAATTATTGACCTTTGTCTTATTCTGCATGAAAGTTGCTAAGCTGCAGCATTATGTCCAATCAGCAACATTATGCAAAACAAGCAACATTAACTTATGTCCAATGAGCAATATAATGTCAAATATGCAATGTCCAATTAGCAACAACGTAAGGTCCAATTAGCAATGTAATGCCCAATGACAGCAACGTAATGTCCAATGACAGCAACATAATGTCCAATGACAGCAACGTAATGTCCAATGACAGCAACGTAATGTCCAATGAGCAATGTAATGTCCAATGAGAACAAAATAATGTCCAATAACAGCAACACAATTTCATATTTTCCTAAACACATTTATATTTTTTCACATTTAATGGCAAGATAAATGGGGTTTAACGTCCACTTGACACAAACTAGATCATTTCGGAAATAGCATATGGTTCAATTTTATTTTAATAATTTGCTTGCGCATTGGGGTCTTTTCACGTACAACCGGGGAATCGAAACCATGCCAGCTGACTTAATGATACAACGTGCATGCGCTAACCATTCGGTCACCCACTCCTACAAATAGAAAAGTTGATAAAAAGATTGTTTACCTATCAATATCATTATTATGATTAGATGTTGATATCTGGTGATTTGATTTACATACAGCTGTACTATTATAAACAGGTGTTTGATCCATGTCTTTAGAACAATTCCTAGAAGAAATATCAGTACATAGTTTGGTAATGGTATAGGAAATCGATTAACAGGGAGATATCAATTTGAAACATATTTAGTTTCCTTAGTACCATTCAAAGGTTTCCCAGAAAATAAATTTTGGAGAACTTGGAGCATTGTCCAAACCCATTCATATAAAGGCAAAGCGAAAGAGAGAAATAAGGTTTAACATCCACTCAACACAAACTAGGTCATTTCGGGACTAACATATGGTTCAATTTTATTTCAATTATTCACTTGTGCGTAGGGGTCTTTGGCAGTGGGAGGAAACTGGAGGACCCAGAGAAAAACCACGAGGTTGAACAGGTGACCCTACTCCTTGTTCCGTGCAACCAGGGAATCGAAACCAAAATTTTGGAGAACTTGGAGCATTGTTCAAACCCATTCATATAAAAGCAAAGCAATTAGGCAATAAAGTGATAATGCCAAAGCAGGACATGTCTTTAAATAGGAATGGAATAGGCTTAATGTTTGATCAAAACAATACTTTGGTTGTTTTGAAACTTTCTATTCTATGGGTTTATCTTCAGCTCTTCGATCGAACATATAAAATTCATTTGTCCCAGTTGGTACATAAAAGTAGGACGTTAGAAACCATTTCATTTCATTTCTTAGATTTCCTTAAAAAACACAGAGAGAGAGAGAGAGAGAGAGAGAGAGAGAGAGAATTGGGGTCCAACCTCTAATCGACACAAATCAGATTCATTCAATTTATTTCAATAATTCGCTTGTGCGTAGCTGTCTTTAGCAGTGGAAGGAAACTGGAGGACCCAGAGAAAACCCATGGGGTTGGACAGGCGACTCTACTCCTCTTCAAGTACAGCTGGGGAATCGAAATCACGCCAGTTGAATGAATGACAGACGTTATGATAAAACGCATACATGCTAACCATTCGTCCAAACAACCCCCCATTAAAAAATAGATTCCATTACAATTCTTAGAGTTTCTTTCACTTTGAGAAGCCGGAGTATTAACCCGTTAAATGCGTAGTGCGTTATATAACATCCTGGACAACTGCCACTCACCGTGTGTAGGGCGTAATATAACGCCTTGGAGGTATTTTCCCCAACCTATTCTTCGAACATACGATCGCAGCATGTGTAGGACGTTATATTACGCCTGGTCGAGGAAATCTAATTGAAGGGAGACAACTCTATTTACCGTTAGTTTTAATATGGTTTCAGACTACTATCATTTGTATTCAGGAATAAAAAGGTCCAAAAATGACGTCTTTCATCAAATTAATTACACAATAGGTGGTAGTTAACGTTTTAAAAACTACACAGTTAACGGGTTAATCTGTGAAAATGCCAACTTACCCTAATAACGCCCCTCTTAAAGCTAATCTCTCTTGATTCTCACTCGGTTCATCAGCTCGTAATGGTACTATATCAACTTCAGAGTATCTTCATTTCGTTAAGGAAACAAATATACATTAACAGGCCAAGATGAGTGGTGACACTGGAGGAATATTTCTAGTACCCTAGAGCACCATATAGGGTCATCAAGAGCAGTGCCAGATACTCTAACAAATACAACATAATTTTTAGAATCAATTATAAAGGGAAAGAACAGTTGCCAAGGAAAGAAATGAAATGTGCTATGAGGGAAATTTTGCAATGGTCTACTCTTATATCGAATCCCAAGGGATCTTTTACATGCACGCCAATGTGTTTATGGAACTTCAGTTTTTCCTCCCATCCGAATGATTGACAGCTGTCTTTGTCAGCCCCTTAGTCCAGCACAACTGACAAGGGAAAACCACGTCGGAAGATCTGAATGAACTTTCTCGACCAATGCAGGGATCGAGCCAGCATCTTACCCACTTAGCCATCGTGGCTCCTCGCAAGGCAAAGAAACAAATATACACTTACAGGCCAATAAGAGTGGTGACACAGAGGAAATATTCCTAGAACCCTAGAGCACCATTTAGAATTGTAAGCTATTGTTATATTGCACTACAAAGGGAATGATAGCTTGCCAGGCAAAAAAACAAGAAGAGTTATGACACAGGAGGAATATTCCTAGAACATCATTTATGATTGTAAGCTATGGTTATATTGTGTTACAAAGGGAAAGATAGGTTGCCAGACAAATAAACAGAACCTAATCAGTTTAAATTGATCAAGCAGTTGAGTATTTAATGATATGAATTATAAGGATACTGAGGAGTTCCATATTGTTCTGAATCATCAACATCTACATTTAAATCACAATCTTCATCTGATAGTTTACGACAACTACTCGTTAAAAATCCTGAACCTGAAAAAATATTTAACATATCATCTATTAAGTATTGGACTTTTGATATAAATGAACTCCTAAACATGTAGAAATATTAGACTTTAATTATAAATAACCTCAGAAACATGTATACAGTATTGAACTTGCAGTATAATGAACTCAAAATCATGTGTAAACGCCGTAAAGTATTGGGCTTTCAGAACAAATGAACTAAGAACATCCATTAGTATTGAACTTTCGGTATAAATGAACTCAGAACATGAAAAATATATCGAACTTTAGTATAAATGAACTCAAAACCATAAAGTCTTGGACTTTCATTATAAATGAACTCAGAAACATTTATAAACTATTGAGCTTTCAATATAAATGAACTCTGAAAATGTATTGGACTTTGGGTACAGATGAGCTCAAAAACCTGCAATTAATGCATCATGAACTTGTTGATATATAGTCAATTGTAAGAAATAGTTAATTTGTAAGAATCTATATTTTCCATAATAAAAAGTAAGAGAAAATATTCTACATACCAGCGAAGCCACCTTCTAGTAATGATGTAGCTCGTATTCGTGTTTGACCTGCCCATGTATATTCTTCATACTGTTCTCCATCACCCTCTACATCAACAGGTTCATCTTCTAAATCACCTCTCTATAATAAAACACAATATATTACTACACTGGGGTGCCATGGTGGCTAAGTGGGTAAGACGCTGGCTCGCTAGCCTGGAGGCTGCATGTTCGATCCCAGCATTGGCCAAGAAAGTTCATAGGGATTTTCCAACGTGGTTTCCCCTTGTCAGTGGTGCAGGACGGAGGGAGTCGTCACGTACATCATAGGGATGCAAAACAACACACTATTGGACAAAATGACAGAGAGAGAGAAATGGGGTTTAACGTCTACTCGACACAAACTAAGTCATTAAGGGACTTTGTGGGTCAATTTTATTTCAATAATTCCCTTGTGCGCAGGGGTCTTTAGCAGTGGGAGGAAACCAGAGGACCTGGAGAAAACCCACGGGGTTGGACAGGCGACCCTACTCCTTGTCACGTACAAGCGGGGAATCGAAACCATGCCACTTGACTCAATGACAGATCTGTGATCAAACGCAAACACGTTGACCATTCGGCCACTCAACCCCCCACACAATGACAAACCCTATGATCTAAAGCGCATGTTATACCACTCAGCCACCCAACCCTCCCTGAAGTTAACAAATAGTACTACACCATTGGACACAGAGAGAGAGAGAGAGAGAGAGAGAGAGAGAGAGAGAGAGAGAGAGTTTAACCTCCACTCGACACAAACTAGGTCATTTCAGGACTAACACATGGTTCAATTTTATTTCAATAATTCGCTTGCGCGTAGGGGTCAACCGGAGGACCAGGAGAAAACCCACGAGGTTGGATAGACGACCAAACTCCTTGTCACGTACAACCGGGGAATCGAAATCCTGCCAGTTGACTCAATGACAGACCGTATGATACAGCGCACGCGTAGTAACTATTCGGCCATCCAACCCCCCTGGACACAATGACAAACCCTATGATTTAAAGCGCATGTTATACCACTCGGCCACCCAACCTTCCTAGAAGTTAACAACAAGTACAGGTTTGTCTACTTACACGTTTAAGACAGAGTTCAACATGTGAATTGAGTTCATCTGATGTACCGGTTAATTTCTCATTACATATAGGACATGATGATTCCTTGACAACACCATCCTCACCAGGTTTCTTCTTACGATTTCGACAGCGAGCTGAAATAAAACAAAACACAATTTGAAACATACATTATGTAAGATTTAATAAAAGATACATTGTGTAAGATTTAGATAAACATACATTATGTAAGATTTAGATAAACATACATTATGCAAGATTTAGATAAAGAGCTAGTCATTCTTGCTATAATAATTCGAAAATAGATAATGTAAAATGAATAATTTGAAAATTTCATTCAAATTACTCTATTGTGAGCGAAGATATTTGCCTTTGAAGGTTTGACAAGACGTGTGCAATAATTTCAACCACCGTACTGGTTGTTTGAAGCTAAGTCTCACTCCTCCATTTTTAGCTTAAATCAAAATATGGCTGAACTGTTCTACTGTTTTTAATATCGGAGAAATCCGATGCCATCGAGAGTTGATTATGGCCTGGATAAGTTAATAAATGTCTAATTAATAATTTAGATAATATTTCAGGCCTAAAGAAAGACCTGCGATAGGCAGATTTAGCTCTCGCAGAATATATGTTTACTATTGATAAATCGTTGAGACTAAATGTGCAAAAAAAGATTTAAAACGCTTCATAATATTGAAGTGGCAATATTGTTATTAATTTATGAAACCCAACCACTACCAGTTTTTACATTTAGTTAAAGGGTGTATGGCTCTATTTTTTGGAACCTTGAAATAGAGAGAGAGAGAGAAATGGGGTTTAACGTCCACTCGACACAAACTAGGTCATTTCGGGACTAACATATGGTTTAATTTTATTTCAATAATTCGCTTGCACGTAGGGGTCTTTAGCAGTGGGAGGAAACCGGAGGGCCCGGAGAAAACCCACGAGGTTGGACAAGCGACCCTACTCCTTGCCACGTACAACCGGGGATTCGAAACCACGCCAGTCGACTCAATGACAGGCTTTATGATACAGCGCGCGCACGCTAACCATTCAGCCATCCAACCCCCCACCTTGAAATAGACAAAAATAGTTGTAACAGAACATGTAAGATGAAAGTATGTACAGTGATTTATATTCAATTTTTCAAAAAAATATTGTAATTTTTCTAATCAATTATGTTTGGTGAAATACGTGAACAGTTCAAGTTGAACAGCAGTCGTTTATGCCTTTTTAGTGCGTTCTACATCATCCAGAACGCGGGTTATATAACAACTCTTCCAGATCCTAGTGTAGTAAAGACAAGTAAAATGAAATTTTGAACAATAAAAGAAACGAAAAGAAATAGGATCTGTGTTTTAATCCGATTGTCTCTAAATTAATATGCATATTCATGAATAAGTACAATTAAGGGCTGATAAAAGTCGATAATAGTTGATAATGATCTTTTAGAGGCATTTAGTAATTGGATAGAGCAATAAACTATAACACATACTTATGGAAGAACAATAAATCAGTAATTGTTCTTCCATAAGTATGTGTTATAGTTTATTGATAAAGTCGACTAACTTTTCTGATTGAGAAAGACCCATTGTCACTTTAACCAAAAAACAAAATTATAAAATTTTCAACATTTCGCACATTTTTTTTGTTGTCTTGTCTAAACATGATCCACTTGTCATACAGAAATGACAAATTCAAAATGACATCTTTGTTGGAGTAAATTAGGATATCAGAAAACCATAAAATAAAACAAGTTATCAAATACGCTCCGATTATTAACTGGATTACGATAAAATATATCAAACCAAGTGTCTTATTACAAACAGATTCTAAAAAATATATCCAACCATGTGTCTCGTTACAAATTCTAAAAAATAGGACTCGCTCGTCTCGAGTTATTAATTACTTATTGTCACATGTCCAACTAGTTTGTAATGTATACATGAACAAGATCTACAACAGATGCTTTTTAAGCGTCCATCTTTTGTTCGCCATGACAACCACAATTAATTTATAATTCTTTCAAATGTCGCTTGATGTCTCAAATTGTACAGAATAGTTGCTAATCAAATTTTATTTAAAATGATAAATTTGTTGAAACAGGAAGAAAATTTCATATCTATAAGTTTTTGTAGTGATAAAAGAAATTAAAATGTCCTAATTTGAATTTAAATAATAAAAAATAGAAATTACTGTGTCCTAATTTGTATTTAAATAATAAACAAAATAGAAATTACTGTCCTAATTTGAATTTAAATAATAAAAAATATAAATTACTGTGAATTTAAATAATAAAAACTAAAAATTATTGTAAATTTAATTAATAAAAAATAAAAATTACTGTAAATTTAATTAATAAAAAATATAAATTACTTTGTCTTAATTTGAATTTAAATAATAAAAAATAGAAATTACTGTGTCATAATTTGAATTTAAATAATAATAAAAAAAGAACCACACATCAATGACAAAGCAAAATAAACTGGATTAGTGTCCAATTAACACAAAATACTTGTGGCTAATTTTAAAAGTTTTATTTTTTTTCTTAGTGTGCTCGAAACTAAAGCTGTAAGGGATAGAGATTAATGTGGTTTAATGTCCACTCAACACAAACTAGTTTTTTTCGGGACTAACATCAAGTATATCTTTATTTCAATAATTCAGTTGCACACAGGGATCTTGAGCAGTTGCGCACAGGGATCAGCGAATTTGAGCAGTTGCGCTCAGGGATCTTTAGGAGCTGGAAAAAAAACACTGAGAAAACCCATGAGGTCCGGCAAGTGACCATATTCCTCATCATGTACAAGCTTGGGACTGGAACAACAAACACTGACGAACTTTATGATCTACAGCACCATCATCCTGACCCCCCACCCCACACCACACTCCTCACCCCCTCACAAGGAAACCATTAATGAACTTACCACCTGTTTTGTGTTTACCAAAACAGGTGAAAGCACCCCTTTAATTGTTGAAGAAGTTTGAGTCTGGATATACTTACAGCTTAAACGAGCTTGACGATTGCACCGGATGCGTAAATACGTCTGAAAAAGGAAAAAAAACAAATTAATCAATCCTAAAGCCTGTTACAATAATATTCGGGCAACCAATTAGAATTGCCACAACCGTTTTTGTCATCTCTTATCACGCTGGTCAATAAAAAGAACGTTCATTAAAATGGCACCAGTAATTATAAACCAATATAAACGATGAGTTGTGTTTACCGATAGAAAACTAGAGTTTTACTGGTAATTACCGCGAAAAAAAAAGATAAAACGGCAATATCTATAAATAGCTGTATTAATTCCAATTAACTTTTTCTCTTTCAATAATTTTGTTATTGTCACATTTTAAATGTTTCGTGATTATGCAATGACCTTTTATATGAATACTGTCTGATATTTCATATTAGCGTTGTCTGTTCCTAAGAGATGGATACACCATAGAATCCCTTGTTTAGAATGCCAGATATTGTCAACAAAAAATTAATGTTAAAAAGGTTAAAAATATATGGGTCCCTATTCCTCTCATTTTCCAGACAATAATTATATTTTTACTAATCAAACACTTATTTAAAGAGACATTATGGGAGATTAAATAAAGAGCTAACAGTTCTTGCTATAATAGTTGACAAATAGATAACATAAAGAAAATATGTTGAAAATTTCAGTCAAATTGCTCCACTGTGAACCAAGATATTAGCCTCGATCATCATTACTAAAGTCGGTACGACAGTCTCAATTATCCATTTTGACGTTAAATCATCTATCAAAAAATGTATTCAAATCCAGTAAATATCACAGGCTAGCGATGGCATCGAGAGTTGATTATGGCCGGGATAAGTTAATTAATGTCTAATTAATAATTTAGATAAAATTTCAGGCCTAAAGAAAGACCTGCAATAGGCAGATTTAGTTCTTGCATAATGCATGTTTAAACTAACAAAAAATATATGATTCCTTTTTAAGACAATAGTTTTATTAATACTTCTATAAACTGCCCCCAAAATATAAACGTGGCCCATTTAGACAATGGTTTTAGTTTTACTAATAAAATTTGTCTATAAACTGCCCCTTTCCAGAAAACAGCTTTATTTTTACCCATAAGACTCTTATATTGAATTCCAACTGCCAAAGGATCTTTTACGATGGTTTTATTTTTACAAATAAAATTCTTCTATAAACTGCTTCTTTCCAGACAACAGCTTTATTTTTACACGTAAGACTCTTATATTGAATTCCAGCTACCAAGGGATCTTTTACGTGCATGTCAACGTGTACACAGGGTTTTGGTTTTCCGTCCCATCTGAATAACTAGATAGCTGTCCTTGTTATCAGGCCCTCCGTCCTGCAACACTAACAAGGGAAACCACACCGTAAAATCCTGATAAACTTTATTTAAATATGTCCATATTAAAACTACCATTCAATTTAGCTGTAAGTGCCGATGGGTAGCAGCATGGAGCAGGGTATTTGAGTCCATGTTTTTATAGGTATTTTAGCCAATTAGAAATTAACCAAATTTGAGTTAAAATGTGAATTTATTATAAAATGGAAATAAATTGTTCGTACCTCGAACCTGGCTTGTGAAATAACTTCTGGTGATGGGGAATCTTTACCTTTACGACAACCAGAAGGTGAAGGTAACGACTGAAAGCAAAATATTCAATCTTTGATTACTAGACCTACAAGGGATCTTTTACGTGCATTCCAATGTATACACAGGACCGCAGTTTTTCAACTCATCAGAAGGACTAGACAGCTGTCCTTGTCAGGCCCTCCATCCTGCATCACTGACAAGGGAGAAACATGCCGGAACATCTGGATGAACTTTCTCGGTCAATGCAGGGATCGAACACCCGACCTCCAGGCTAGCGAGCCAGCGTCTTACCCACTTAGCCACGTGATCCCCCAAAAATTCATTTGTATGTAATAACAATAATGTACATTTGTAGGGTGCTAAATCCACCCGAAATCATGCTCAAAGCGTAGTGAGAAAATAGTTATATACACCATGAGTGGAAAGTCTAATTCCCCAAAAAAGTAGTTAGAAATAATAAATGAAATCTCACCTTTCGACCTTGAGGGGTCGTATCTCGTGATTTTCTTCCACCCCTGAAAAAAAACATTTTATACAATGTAATAATACATATATAAATTTTCAAAACACTCAAACGATAAATGTTTACTTTTATAAAAAAAATTCTTAATTCATGGTTACCGTATCTGTGTTTATACCACAAATGTATTACACAAAAACAGGGGGTTGGATGGCTGAATGGTTACCATGTGCGGGCTGTATCATAAGGCCTGTCATTGAGTCAACTGGCATGGTTTCGATTCCCTGGTTGTACGTGACAAGGAGTAGGGTTGCCTGTCCAATCTTGTGGGTTTTCTCTGGGTCCTGCGCTTTCCTCCCAATGCTAAAGACCTCTACGCGCATGCGAATTATTGAAATAAAATTAAACCATGTTAAACCCGAAATGACCTAGTTTGTGTCGAGTGGAGTGGACGTTAAACCCCTTTTCTATCTCTCTCTCTCTCTTTACACAAAAACACATACTTATGGAAAAACAGCTTTATTTATTTGGGCGACGTTTCAAAGAGTATTCTCGGAACGTTATCAAGCTAATACAGTAATACAAGAATTATGAGATCAATATATACTAAAAAAACTATAACAACAATTCATGAAACCATGCAGGACAACAACAAGATGAAAGTGGGTTATTGAAAAAAAACCACAACAAGTTTTACATGAAAACCAAATATTTATTAAGTTATTTGTCTCTGTAATTGAGAGAATAAATGTAGCTTTATTTCTGAAAATCTAGCTTTACAATTCATATTATCATTGTACTCGATTTCTCTATAATAAAAACAATCTGTCTATTTAGAAATACATTTCAATTGTTCACGTCTTTTCAGCCACAATTTTCAAACATAAAGGCCATTTTTTTTATCCTTTCTTGCCATCACGAAAACGAGACAAATAACAAAATAATAAGACGAGTAGAAACTCCGGTTTATCCATTTGGAAAGAAAATTCTTTTGAAAATTTTCGAACTGTGTGCATCAAGGGTGATGTAAATGGATTTAATCCGAGTTAATAAGTCTGCTTATTTGGATTTATAGAGCGCGTCTCATGTCTTATATCTTAATTTACCGTTCTATTAGTTCTAATGTAGTGAAACGTAATTCAATTAACTTTCTACAATGGCGGTAATACGGACTAATTGGCTCTTATAAACACTCTCAAGTGCTATCAGCCATTGCGTTAAATTCAGTTAACACCACTTGCCCAAATAAGCCGAGCGCAATGAGTACAGATCGCGGGCCATAGTTGGACGGTAATTATGATTAAGTGAGGAATTAATATTAAATCAGGGAGTGATTGGGTGTTAAAGATATCATATTCTCCTCTATTGCCAATACATTTCATATTATTAAAGAACTTGCCACGAAAAGGGAGCGAGTGATGAGGTTAACTAGAAAGTATGGCCTAGCGAATATCTAATCAATTAATTTATCATCCAGTTTAATTCATTTTGTTTTATGAAATCTTTCACAGGGTTCTAATCATATAAATTAACAATTGTACACCAAGAACAATAACACCGGGAGCATTTAGTATCTTTAATATCAATTTTCTTTCTCATCACCCGAACAAAAGAAATTGTATAAAAATTACAACCAAAGGCAATGAGGAGGAAATCTATACCGAACTCTATGCAGTTATTGATGACTTCAATATTACTTAAAAAGGATCTGTTAAAACCATGTTTTAATTCCTCCAGATCTAAAATCTAGGATCATCATATTTGAGGGGTTGAGAGAGAGAGAGAGAGAGAGAGAGAGAAAGAGAGAGAGAGAGAGAGAGATGGGTTTTAATGTCCAGTCCAGTCCACTCCACTCACTATATAGCTTTAAATCTAACTTAAAAACATATTTATTTCAAAAATGTTTTTTGAACTGTTTTGTTGTGAGATTGGAACTAATAACTGATCAAGGCCATAATATTGTTACAACAGATATATTTAAATTTTTCTTTTCTTAACATGATGAAAACATTTGTGTATTATCAAAAGAGGAAAAATAAAATTTTACTATAAAAAAAAAAAAAAAAAAAAATGTTGGGTGGGTTTTTTTTCGTAAAGGAATAAGGATCAAAACTAAATGTCCACTATTGCCTTTCTTTTCTTAACATGATGAAAATATTTGTATTATCAAAAGAGGAAAAACAAAATTTTACTCTAAAAAAAAGTTTGGTGGGTTTTTTTTTTCGTATTAGGAATAAGGATGAAAACTTAATGTCCACTATTGGCTATTTCCATAATAATCTACTCTCACTATAACAACTCAAACTTTCTACCAAGTGATATTAAAGGATTAAGAATCTATGAATAAAAGGCACTTGACATTGTCGATAGTTGTTGAAGATTGGATTTTATCAACAACTTCTAGTCTGACAGATGGTTCGAACTGATAACATCACCTCTATATTTAATAACACACCAGTCTTTTCATAATTTCTCTTCATTTTACTATCACTAACTTCACAACATAATACCAATCAAGTTTTCCGAGAGTAATCAACTGCGCTTGACAAGTAGTTAAATCACAATTAGTCACTGTTTCTACCCCCACTTGTCACTCTCATCACAGTGATTCCCAATTGCCGAGCAAACATCTCCCACTCGGAGTAAATCGTAAATTATTCCCCTTTATTTACCGATTTAGGATCAAATTATTCCTTATCTTTATAAGTATATTTATAAAGTTGGTGATTCGGTCAGTAAAAATTGATAATGGTCATAAAGAAGGTTTTTAATCTAAATTAAGTTAAGAGAGTGGAATAATTTTTTATTGTTAGATTTATATCAAGTAGGTGAAAGTTTTATGATATTCAAGGGTTATTCACACTATAAACACTTATACTAGATGTAAAGTACACTTCTACTATTTCATTATAAAGTCTATATTAGATAAGAAACTTCCTTAAAAAGTACAAATAAGTAAAACAAATTTAAAAAAAAAAAACAAACAAATACATGTTTTGTACATGTAGGATATTTGAATATGCCACTACTGCAGACCCGTTGCCATTGGAGAGAAAATCGTATGGTGTGAATTAAGGGAGGGCGCCAGTGTAGCAAGTTAATCATGCTTTGCCATGGGATATTTTTTAAACGCAATTACAACTGAGAAAGAATTCTCAATGATTCCTTATTAATCCTTTGATAAGGGCCCTGGGCCCTGTTTCTCGAAATCTTAACTAAAGATAAAGTCCAAATTTTAGTAGATACTTCAATTTTGATTGGCTAAGCACTAAAATCAATCTTATATTAACCAATCAAATTACTAAAATTTAGATTTTATTTTACTCAAAATTTCGTGAAACAGGCCCCTGATTTTGTAGTGCCAACAATACAAGCAAACAGTTCTCCAGTAGCGACGCTCACTTGTTTTTGTCAGCAAAATGACTTGTTTTTGTGTGAAATCGAACATCATCACTAATTGTTATTCCATAAGTATGTGTTATAGTTTATTGCTCTATCCAGTTACTAAATACCTCTGAAAGATTGTCACTACACCGTGCAGTTCTTTGTCAACTGATTTTAATAACTAATTTAAACGTGAAATATGTAAGAACTTAATCTACAATATGTAATACTGTTTTCTTTCTTCAAGTGTTATATACATTATTATTATTTAGACATAATTAAAGATACATTCCCGGGTACAAACTGGGTGATTTAATGGTATATATGGACTAAAAACATATTCAAACTAATTAATTTACCATAATTTTGCTTCAAATCCTTCTCAAGACATTGCAATTGTCGGAGAATACCCTGGCTATAAAAAAATCGATCAAAAGAGGTCATGTTTGTGTCACGTGACTTACCTCTCTCGGTACCTAGCAACGCAAGTGAAGTCGGAGGAGAATTCATTGCATACACAAGACGATGTTGTCTTTAATCGCTGACTATTTATTACAAATATCGAAGCCTAATTAAATTCTCGGATTATCCACTGCCCGCGTCCTTTTCCGTGATTGTTATCTCAGAAAGTGTTGTACGTCTAATTCTTCATACAGTTTATCACAATGTACATCAAGCGCCCAATCTCCGCGTGCAACCTTCGACGGGACTAACATATCATTCAATTTTATTTCAATAATTCGCTTGTGCATAGAGGTCTTTAGCAGTGGGAGGAAACCGGAGGACCCGGAGAAAAACTCACAAAGTCACAGGACCTTAGGATTGAAAACATAAAATGGGGGTTTAACGTCTGACTCCTCTGGTCTGAATAGAATTTAAAGTAACCTATTTTATTTACATTAATCAACCTACCTGCTGAGTTTTTCTAGTTTTTCAATCTCTAGGTTAAAATGACTCTCGACATCCGAATGTCGTAAGGTGAGACCACAGATTGGACAGCATGGGGCCTGACCATCCAGTACACTTTTCTTTCTCTGTTCTAAAATACACAAATTAAATTATAAAATTATTAATAAATTACCGTTAAAGGCTCAATACCACTCTTGTTGTAACTGAATAATATGTCCCAATCTTTATTCTGGTCAACAAATTGTACTATTTTACAATATTCCAATTAATTGATGATACAAATTTCATCTTAACACACCTAATTTAAAAAATTGGAAAAATTCAACTAAATGATTTGAAAAGCCTGACGTAAAGTTTTTCAAATGTGACTTGGATTTAAAAATATTTTTGAACCCTCTGGACAAGTAAACTAGAATTTAATGGATAATTTACACAACAGGTAAGACACTAACACATCTAGTACTTAGAATAAGGCTATTTTTTATTTTCTGGAGCTGTCAAGCCAGCAAGAGTGTTATTGTCCCTTTAAGTTTTAAAATATATAGGGTATAATAACATTAATTTTTGAAAATAATGAATTTTTATCATATTAAAACTTTTATAAAAAAAAAAAATGGTAAAATTATTTTATACATTCTTAAAATCATAAATTCTTAATATTAATAAATCATAAATTCTTAATATTAATAAATCATATATTCTTAATAATCTATCATATGTTCTTAATATTAAATCATACATTAAATCTTACATACCTAATATTAAATCATACATTCCTAAAATCACACATTCTTAACATTAAATCACACATTCTTAGAATTACACATTCTTAATATCATACAGTCCTAATATTAAATCACACATTCTTGATATCAAATAATACATTCCTAATATCAAATAATACATTCCTAATATCAAATAATACATTCTTAGAATTATTAATTATTCATACATGTTACATGTACCTTTCTAAAAAAACAATCAAATCACATATCTTAAAGATACATTAGTTAATAGCTAAATTGCCTAATGCAGGTCTTTCTTTAGGCCTTAAATATGAATTATTAATTAGACATTTATTAACATGACAAGACTGCTGCAGCATTAGGTCCTTGATCAGAAAATATCTAATGATTTGAATAATTTAATCCACTCTAAAATTGATTGTTTAACATTTAAATTGATGGGATTCAATTGGATTAAAAGGGCGGCCCTGAAAAGATTTCATACTACAGTTATAGTTGGCACTGGCTTCTTCATATTATCTGCAGAGGATGACAAACTGTTGTTGAAATTTTCAGTCTAATATCTTTGTCAATACTGATAGAAATTGAACCATTAAACATAACTTGCACAACATTTTTTTTTTTATGCCCTGTGGCAGGTGCTACATTTGGTAATTTAGGAAGTGGGCGTTCAAAACCCCACAAGTTCTACTCCGGACAATTTTAACCTGGTTGTTCACTCATATGAGATTATCTAGTGTTGGTATTTTGATTTTGTTTTCTTAATTAAATGTTAAATCAATCTGATTACATATTACATTAGTGTTACTTTGCTCTTATTTTTTGAAAAAATTTTCACAAGTTGTTTTCCTTTATTTTGTTAATGTAGAATGGTAATGAACTGCTCTTTTTATTTTCTTTGTTTTATTTGTTTCGTTTGAATTTGATTTATCTGTTTAGTTTTTGATTGTTTAATTTTTGTTAATGAAGTTGATTCTTTTAAACTTCTTTTTTTATTTTTGAACTCTACTTGGTGTAGGTGTTCATCAGGTAATACCTCGACTGAGTTAATATAGAGATTAGCCGGTTGATTTGTTGGATATAAACCTTTGAATAATAGCGCCTAACAGGCAACTGTGTTTAATTATGTTCTCCTGATTTTGATTGTTTCTGTGTGTTTGAAGTATGTTTGTGAAATGCGCTTAGAAACACTTCACGTGTAATGAAGCGCTATATAAATCGAACAATAATAATAACAATAATAATAAAATAAATGTCCGTTTTAAAAAAAAAACCAGAAGAAACATTTTTAAAAGTTTGAGAAAACCCGAGAAATGTAGGGAAAAGATTAGTTTGAAATACTCTTGCTGTTATAATTATTAATTGTCTGATCATAAAGCTCACCAAGGGTGTTCACTCATTAAAAAATTTCCAGTTTAAAAAAAACAACACATAAGAAACATTTTTAAAAGTTTGAGAAAATCAGAGAAATGTAGAGAAAAGTTTAGTTTGAAATACTCTTGCTGTAAGCCTGTGATTATTATTGTTGGAAAATAAACATTTTTAAAAATTTGAGAAAAACCCGAGAAATGTAGAGAAGTTTAGTTCAAATTACTCTTGCTGTTATATTTATTGTTGGAACATAAAGCTCACCATGAATATTGGTTTCCCTAAGTAGTATTTATATGTTTATTTATTAGCGTAAGATAAAGCTACGAGCTTTAAGGTAATATATGTATGAGATGGGCTTTAAACAACTTATCTCATCCAAATAAAACGAGGGGTAGATCGGTAGTTAAGATGGAAAAGGCTAAGAAATATGATCATTATATACACGTTTATCACAGCAAGTAAATTAGGGAGAATACTCTCACGACAGATGCGGGAACGAACGGGATTCAAGAGCTTAACAGGTATCGTGGCTATTCATAGGAAGATTACGCCAAATTGTGTGGCTCTGGTGAGTTATGACTGTCGAAGGAAAGTCATAAATGCTGTCATTTTTGCCAAACAATCATCCCGCGGAAATCCCTAATTGTTGTTAGCCGTTTGACTTTCTTGTCTGCGCTAGTCGTAAAGATATTAGTAACGTAATCTCCGCAATCTCATTGGCTGACATCAATCAAACAGGTTGATATAACAACATCAACTTGTAAATGAGACGCGTTGGAAAATGACAAGCGGCCATAACATCATGAACTCGGGGGCAACACACTGAATAAAAATCACAGTACTACTCCGATCCACAAGAGCTGACTAATATTCAGTCGGCTTTTATCATGCTAAATCGAAATCTCAAACATTGCATTTCTCTTTTTACAACTCGGCAATACTTTATTTTTTAAAATCAGAATTCATACACTTTCATAAATCTCATAAATTTCTGCGGGTATGTTAACGACCACAGGTCTGCAGCCAATTAATTTTTTCCTCTCCCAAACGTCAAATGCTCTATTGAATTTCACCACACCATTTTGAAATAAGATTTTTTTTTATTATGATGTATTTCTTTCCATGTATGGTATTCAATTGAAGGTAATATTCCAGCCCGCAGTAATTAAAATCAACTCATCGAGTCATACTCCGCACAAATATTACACCTCCCTGGCAACCAGATTAAATGACAGCCCACCCCCATTGTTACCGCGGGTTTCCTTTTAAACTTTATTGCTTTCCTGTTAACAAAAGAGTGACAGTTTAGGAAACTACTTGAAGAAAATCTTATTTGTCCTTCACGCGATGGTATTGTGCTAAGTTTTAGTAGGATTTAAAGATCCATTGTTTGCCTGAATGGCCTTTCGCCAAAAAACTGGTGGATTTACTTTCAGAGTCGAGTGAGAAGTCTTTTTTAACCACTGATCACACAAACATAGTCCCAGGGTATATCATTAATCTCAATTATTTGTCAACTTGGTTGTCAATTTGTTCATATTCAAGTTTTCTTCTATATGCGACAGGAAAATAGAGTCTTTGAAAAGAGTTCTAACAATGTGTTCTTAATTTTGATCAGGCTTTGACAAACGTGTATAGAATTACTCCCTTAACTTTTATATACACGGATTAAATATAAATAAGATTATAAAATCACTAGAGACCCCTTACAGACAACACTTTATTAACTCGCGTTTCTCTGCAGTTTTCTACCTGACTGAACTTAATGTAATATAGTATATATATATATATATATCCCAGTATATATCAGACGTGATAGTGTCCTCCGCAAACCATATTATCAATAACCATTTACCCTTTACACGGCTAGATGACGGTTAATTTACCTTACTAAAGCCTGGATAAGGACTTTTTAATTCGACATTCACTATGTTTTGTGAGCACGTAATTTACAAAACAACTTTTCATATGAGTGTAAATAACCTTATGTAAAACATTTTATGATTCATATAGGTAACATTTAGGTTTCTAATAAGATTAATGGCAATATAAAGACTTACTAAGGGATTAAATATTTCAAATATCCGACTAACACCATATCTTAAAATACTGTAGTCATACACCATTGAAAAATTTTCTACCAAAATTTCAACAACCCCATGCACAGCAATGAGTATGTACATGTAACACATAAGGTTTAGATGTATGTAAAAATATGGTTTTGGTCAAAATAAAAACTAAAGGAATTAAATATCAAAAATATCAGGTTAAGAGAGAGAGAAATAGGGTTTAACGTCCACTTGACACAAACTAGGCCATTTCGGGACTAACATATGGCTCAATTTTATTTCAATAGTTCGCTTCGCTTAGGGGTCTTTAGCAGTGGGAGAAAATCAGAGGACCCGGAGAAAACCCACAAGGTTGGACAGGCGATCCTACTCCTTGTCACGTACAACCGGGGAATCGAAACCACGCCAGTTGACTCAATGACAGACCTTATGATACAAGGTTGGACAGGCAACCCTACTCCTTTTCATGTACAACTCGGGGAATCCAAATATTTTTATGACATTTAACTTTCCTTTCTTCTGGTCTTTTAACTCCAAGATTTTAACAACCTATGGACATCAATATTCAACACAATAAAAATTCAAGTTTAGCGCTGTACATGTAAAATTATGGTTGGGTCTAAATTTATTACTTTAGATTTAAACCTCAAAATCAAATCTTGAAAATATAAATTTGATTCAAGTTTAGCGCTGTACATGTAAAATTATGGTCGGGTCTAAATTTATTTTTTTAGTTCTAAACTTCAAAACCAAATCTTGAAAACATAAATAAGATTTTTTAAAAATAAGCTCTTGTATTTTTTTTTAAAGCAATAAAACAATAAACTGACAAGTTCCTGAATTTCAAACTCAACAAGCACATCATAAATATATCTACTAAATTTTAACTGACAATAATTCTCATCAACATAAAATTTAAAGGGGCAGTATTTCAAGAGTGCATA